TACGTAGCCAATAATTAAATAAATTAGAGAAGACTAACTTAAGTACATTTAAAAGTTTATATAATGCAAGGAGATGAGTTACCCATATGTTGTACAAGGTTACCAGCCTACAATGATTGTAGAATATCAAGTACCATGATATTCTACAGAGTTATCAGCGTGAGTGAGATACCACGATTTGCTACAAGATGAGGTATCATGATATCTGTTACAAGGCTATTAGTGTAGATAAGGTACCATGATTACAAGGCTACCAGCGTAGATGAGGTACCATGATTACAAGGCTACCAGCGTAGATGAGGTACCATGATTACAAGGCTACCAGCGTAGATGAGGTACCATGATTACAAGGCTACCAGCGTAGATGAGGTACCATGATTACAAGGCTACCAGCGTAGATGAGGTACCATGATTACAAGGCTACCAGCGTAGATGAGGTACCATGATTACAAGGCTACCAGCATAGATGAGGTACCATGATTACAGGGCTACCAGCGTAGATGAGGTACCATGATTACAAGGCTACCAGCGTAGATGAGGTACCATGATTACAGGGCTACCAGCGTAGATGAGGTACCATGATTACAAGCCTACCAGCCTAAATCGTAGTAACGTAGATTGAGTACCAGCGTTACACCATGATGTGTTACAAGGCTGCAGTGTAACAATAAACTTTCTGTGGCGCAGTCGCCTAGATTTCCTAATTCGCCCTCACTGGCTACGTTCCAGCAGCTGTCGTAGACGCAGTTACATGTAACTGAATTAAAAGCTTGTAGTATCGTAATCGTTTACAGTGAGCAAATAATAGTCGCGCGTACACAATGATAGTATTATGCTCAAAGAACAAACCATATCATGCGTTCATTATCATAATATTTATCATGTACACAAAACAAACACTGATAAGTTAAAATCACAATACTAAGCATTAATAAACAAAAAGTAGCATTTATGTTTGTCTTATCCCAAGTTGACACTAACTGTGGTGTCTTAACCTAGTAATAAAACATCACGTCATCAAAACAAAGGGCAGGCGGGTTCTTAGGTTAAACACTGACTTAGTGAAAACTGAATGAGCCAGCATTTGCCTTCACTCTGTCCTCAGGCTAGGCTTGTCCAGGCGGCGGCCGAACCTAAAGACGCATTTGTTAATTTTAACCTAATGAGTATTCAAAGGTTTTATGTTATCAAATATATCCTACCTTGTAGCTACTTTGTGGAAGTTCCGGGGATCAAATGCCCCGCGTCCTGGTCTCCGACCAGGCTTTACGGTTTATCATCTGGTCAACCAGGCTGTTGGACGTGGCTGCTCGCAGCCTGACGTATGAATAACAGTCTGGTGTTGGTCAGGTATTCTTTGGAGGGGTTTGTCGAGTTCTTTCTTTAACACTGTGAGAGGCCGGCCAGTTCAGCCCGTCCTCCAAACAAAGACTCAAAAGTGATTCCATGCACCCGCCAAACCCCAGGTGTTTATGAATGAAAAACGGTTTACACGCGACTCACAACTGATGACGTCCGAACACTTCCGGACCAAGTGCTTCACTGACGAATTTTGTTCGAACCACAACGGTGTAAATGCTTCACCCACGTACTACAAATAATCACCAGCAGAACCTAAACACCTAACCTAACCTAATCTATGCCTATATATACACAATATGCTATTATAGTATTAATTTATATTTAGAAAAATTACTGTTTTGAATGAACAACATGCACAAATTTATTTATGCGTCTGTGGGGTCGACCGCTGGATGTAACGGACTTGAGTTGAGGCAACCCGTTCTCGCAAATTTAATAAGTCAATATTGACTTATTAAATATGTGCATAGGTGACATACTTAACATAATAGATACCCTTAAAAAGATTCATAGAAAACACCGACCTTACCTAACCTTGTTAGTATCTTAAGATAAGCATCTTATAGCTTCGTAATTACAATTATTACCTAACCTATAATAGGTATAGGTTAAGTAATAATTGTAATTACGAAGCAATAAGATGCTTATCTTAAGATACTAACAAGGTTAGGTAAGGTCGGTGTTTTCTATGAATCTTTTTAAGGGTATCTATTATGTTTAGTATATCACCTATGCACGTAGTTAATAAGTCAATATTGACTTTACGAATTTGCGAGAACGGGTTGCAACAGGACGGGTTGCTGACCTAGACAGCGGGCAAAGGTCCTTTACCCCTAGAATCCACTTTATCATTCATCTAAATTATTGGGACCGATTAAAAGATCTTAATCTGTATTCTTTAGAGCGTAGGCCAGAGAGATGCATAATAATCTACACGTGGAAATTATTAGAGGGACTAGTTCCAAATCTGAACACGGAGATAACATCACATGAAACCTGTACGCATGGCAGGATGTGTAAAATAGCCCCACTGAAAAGTTTTGGTACTCACCTAGTTGTGCAATAGGTATGCTGAGGGAGAAATCTGTCAACATAATGGTCCAAGACTTTTCAACACTCTCCCTATACACATAACTGGCCATCCCATCCTCGACCCAAGTCCATTACATCCAGCGATCGATCCCACAGACGCATTCATAAATTTTAACATGCTGTTCATTCAAAACAGGAATTTTCTTAAATATAAATTAATATTATATTATATTAGCATATTGTGCATATATAGGCATAGATTAGGTAGGTGTTTAGGTTCTGTTGCCGATTATTTGTATTTGTAGTAGTTGAGTGAAGCATTTACAGCGTTGTGGTTCGAACAAAATTCGCCAGTGAAGCACTTGTTCCGGAAGTGTTCGAACGTCAACAGTTGTGAGTCATGTGTCAGCCCGTTCTCCAAACAGAGACCCAAAAGTAATTCCATGCACCCGCCAAACCCCCTGTTTATATATGAAAAATGATTTACACACGACTCACAACTGATTTCGTTCGAAAATTTCTGGAACAAGTGCTTCACTGACGAATTTTGTTCGAACCACAACGCTGTAAATGCTTCACCCAACTACTACAAATACAAATAATCGCCAACAGAACCTAGCATGTAAAAATTTATGACTGCGTCTGTGGGGTCGACCGCTGGATGTAATGGACTAGAGTCGAGGACGGGTTGCGTGTGTAAACCGTTTTCCAATCATAAACAGGGAGTTTGGCGGCAATTAACGAGCATTTAGCCTTTGTTATGAGGACGTCCTGAGTGTTTACAGTGCAGATTGGAAGTGAGCAAAACACATCTCGAGTCATAGCTTCGAATATGGTTAAATGTGCTCAGCTTGTTCTCATCATCAGAAGTCAAATGCTCTTTAATCCAGCCGCCAACCACCTGTTTATGAATGCAAAACGGCCTACTGTCCACGGTTCACAACTGATGATGTATGTACTTTTCTCGAGCAGCGCTTCACTGACGTCCTCTGCTCGAATCGCCAGTCAGTAAATGCTTCACCCACGAACTACAAACACAAATAACCGACAACAAAACCCTACCTACGCCTAACCATACATTGAATTTTATTGTATAATAATATTAATTTATACATGAGAACAAACCTATTTGTATTAGAGTGTTAAAATTGACGAATGTATCTCGGCAGACGGCTACACCTGAATAACAAGTCACTGGAAACAGGAGACCTACCGGAAAGCTGGAAGACAGCTAATGTCTTCCCAATACACAACAAGGGTGACAGGGCTAGAGGCGCTGAACTACAGGCCAGTTTCCTAACTTGTATACCGTGCAAGGTGATGGAGAAGATCGTGAAGAAAAGGCTCGTTGAACATCGGGAGGAGAAAGAGTTTTGTAACACTCCACCAACATGGGTTCAGAGATGGTAAATAGTGCCCCACAGGCTTAATAGAATTCTATGACCAAGCATAAAAAATTAGGCAAGATAAAGAAGGGTAGGCGGACTGCATTTTTTTGGACTGTCAGAAAGCTATTGACACAGTACCCAATAAAAGGTTGTTGCAAAAGTTGAAGAAACAGACAGGACTAAAAAGTAAGGTGCTCCAGTGGATAGGGGAGTATCTAAGCAGCAAGAAACCGTGAGTAACTGTGAGGGAGGAGACATCAGAGTGGCGAGATGTTTGTCACCAACAGAGTCCCACAGGGCTCTGTACTTGGACCCATCCTGTTTCTGATACATGTAAACGATCTTCCAGAAGGTGTAGACTCATTCCTCTCAATGTTTGCTGATGATGCAAAAATTATGAGAAGAATCAAGAGAGATGAAGATAGACAGTAACTATAGAACGACCTGGACAAACTGTAGGCATGGTCTAGAAAATGGCTACTAAAGTTTTACTCAGGAAAATGTAAAGTAATGAAATTAGGCGAAGGGAGCAGGAGACTGAACACAATGTACCATCTGGGAAGTGAAATTCTGCAAGAGTCAAATAGAAAGAAAGATCTGGGGGTTGATCTCACACCGAACCTGTCCCCAGAAGCCTACATCAAAAGGATATCATCAGCGGCATATGCTAGGTTGGCCAACAAAAGAACTGCCTTTAAAAACTTGTGTAAGGAATCGTTCAGGACCCTAAATACAACTTATATCAGACCAATCCTGGAGTAAGTAGCTCCAGCGTAGAGTCTATACCTAGTTAAACACAAGGCAAAGTTAGAGAGGATTCAGAGGTATGCTACCAGACTAGTCCCAGAACTGAGAGGTATGAGCTATGAAGAAAGACTACGGGAGCTAAACCTCACGTCCCTGGAAGACAGAAGAGTAAGGGGAGACATGATCACCACCTACAAATCCGTCGGTAATCAGGTAATCCGTCCTCAACCGGCGTGGAAATATAAAAATAGTATACAGTAGTTATACCTGGCCTCGACACCCAAGGCTGAGAGAGCAAACAGGGATATAAACACCGAGAGGTGTACTGCGCTTCTTGGTGTAAATACACTGATAGTTTACTGGAGTAAACTAAGCTCTGGACTAATACTAGCTGGTTGGTCAATAGGCTATTGTAGTGGCTGTAATAACGCTCTGGAGGTTGACGATCTTAAGCCCAATACCAAGCCTAAGTTAAGAACTACTAACGAAAGTAAATGGTTGTTGGCAACGAATGCGAGAGGCATCAGCCGTTGTGGTCAACGTCCAGTTGTGGTGTAGCGCTCCTCCTGGCCGGGCGACTATAGTGCTGCAGCCTAGTCCACCAGTGCTGACTTCAGGTGACGCTTGTCTTGTCCTGTATAAATCGTTCAGATTCATTGATAAAGATTAAGCCTCCCAAGAGGTGGGAGGGACACGCATAGCCCGTAAAGATCATTCGGGAATTATAAGCACATTTACTAGTTATTGTAGCAGCTGTATTATATCGCATTTACAGCAAAACACAACAAGGCACTTGCGGATATGTTGACTAATTATGCAACACACTTTACCCGAGAGTCACTAACACTAGTGACCTCAATGAGAACAGGAAGCTGGCGGCCTGTCGAAGTCTCGCAGTTTGCCTTGATCTTTTCCAGCAGTACTGTTAAAGTTAACAGTTTGGCATTTAGGGCTTCGGCGGGTAGGCGGTCCCATTGGTTTTATGACACTGGTTGAAGAAGCATCTCCTGCTCTCAGTTCTACATTTGTAACATCTGATCTTTTGAAGAAATTTACCTGAATTAACTTCCTCCAAATTGTTCAGTATTTTAAGTTTAAATGAGATCTGCCCTGTCATGCCAGGTCTGCAGTGTTGAGCCCTGTGGCCCTCAACCGTTCCTCGTACGTGGATTGACTTAGATTTTGTTTCTCGATGTTGCACTTTTTCCAGAGCAGCTGTGTCCTTCTGAAGGTGAGGTCTCCGTGCTTGAATACGGTGATTCAAACGGAGGCGCACCAGAGATTTATACAATTGAATCACTACCTTCTTTTCCTTAAAGTCAAAGGTACGCTTGATTATTCCAAGTGTTTGGTTAGCTTTTTTGACTACTAGTTTGCCAAACTATCTGCTGTGCAACTTTCAATGAGTGGAGGATTTTGACTATTTTTTCATCAATCTGCTTAAATGTAATGCCTCTAACTAGGTAGTTGTGGCGTGAGTTGTCTTTGTATGATTCAGGTTTAATACCGAGTTGTCGAGGTGTCTGACAGACCATTCTGGGTACTCCTGACGCTCTCGTCGTAGGCCGTATACTAGACAGACTTAATGGAAATGTAATATTATCACAAGCAAAAGTGAATGATCAGTTGATCAAAATATAAGATTAAAAAATTATTTGATTGCAAAGATCATTTTAAAAATATTTATTTGTTTATAGAGCAGCTAATTGCGTGTAGCGCTTCGGGCTGTTTAATGTATTAATTAGCTTGCTTTTGGGGTAATACTTAATGATATGAAATGTAAGTTAATATGTATAAATGTGGCCACTTTTTCGTTGTTCTCTGTAGGTGTGTTGGCACACGGGGGTGTACACAGGCACAACATAATTGGTCTTCCTGTTCACCCCGCTCTCGCGAGCGTCCTCCAACGTAAAGAAACTCGTATTAAAGTGCCTTATCCTAACCTCGACAAGACCCTCGAACAGAAAACGGGACATTGTCAGTTTCGCACCCTACCATTTTCTAGCACAAGTTTTTTGGCCTCGGGTAGAATATACGTAAAGATGCGACGTGGTATTAGGAGGCCTGGCTGTTCTATTATCTCCAAATTGTCTTTCATGGCAAACTATTACATTTTACATTAAAAACACAGTAGCAATTTTTATTCCTGGGGTAGTGTTATTTACCAATTGGTTTTGCCTGAAAGTATAGAAACGGAGACAGCAACAGCATAGCACGGAGACGGTCGTTATCAGAATTGCAAACCTTGTTCGGAACAAGTTTTACAAATTAGTGGAGTGTAATGCCTCTGTAATTTGATAGTGTTAAATTTACTATTAGATATAGTACCCAGCGGTGCCAGAGTCACCACCAAAACGCCACTATTAGTGTTGGGAGCCTCCTGAAGGCAACTCGGCCATCAGAACATGTCTTTTAATCGGCTGAAAAAACTTTGGAAGCAACGACGACCACTTTATCTCCACTGACTGCATAAAGGAAGCCATGAGAGCCGACCTCTTGTTTACAATAGTCGGTTGTTGGCATTGTCGTAGACGTTCAGACGGGGCTTGGAGCAGAGCAGAGAGACAGTCCCCTAACCCCTGCCAAACTTCCATGCAAAGTTGGGTGAGGCTAGCTGGCTTCCAGCCTTGGGCAGATATGCAGGCATCCTCTTGTATACAGATAGGATGTAATTAATCATATCTGCCCTCTGCCTGATGCCCTAAATTTGTGAACTTTGTATCAGAAGACCCGTACCAAAATGGGGGAATACATTGGAAAAGTTTAGATTTAGGAAAGACCTGGGTAAATACTAATTCGGTAACAGGGTTGTTGATTTGTAGAACCAATTACCATGTAACATAATAGAAGTAGGATCCCTTGATTGTTTAAAGTGTAGTTTAGAGAGATTGGTTGTTATAAAATAAGGTAACTATCCCCCCCCATCATCCCTATGATCGTGTGGCTATAAATAGGAGCTGCCTCGTATGGGCCAATAGGCCTTCTGCGGTTTCCTTAATCATATGTTCTTAAATCCTTGTCACTAAATGACTGTTAATCCCCCCACAGGATGCTAATGCTAGCGTTGTGTGGGTGGGTGGTGGCGGTGATGGGCAGCGAGGCCGGCTACGGCTACACTAGTCAGCCCACCAGTCACGTCCCTCCGGTCGTCCACACCCGAGCAGGGGCCACATCCGGCATCACAGAGGAGTCTACCAAGGGCAGAAGATTCTTCTCTTACTACGGAATTCCCTACGCCAAGCCTCCTGTCGGCCAGCTCCGACTCCAGGTAATTCCTAAACGACTGTGTCATACTTGGGTCGGCTGACACAGTACACCCAACAGGGACGACCTTAGTGTCATGAGTGGCGCGCACACCAAGGGCAAACGCTGGAGATAAAAACTTGTTCGTTTATAATGTTTTCTTCTCGCCATTATCTGTGTGTGGACAGGTGTGTGGGGACAGGTACTCGCATACTTGTACTCGCCTAGTTGAGCTTGCGAGGGTTGAGCTCTATGGTCCCGCCTCTTGGCTGTTAATAGACTGGTGTTTCAGATTCCTGAGCGTATTGGACTCTATCACATCTACATTTGAAACTGTATGGAGGCAGCTTCCACCACATTACTTCCTTGTGCATTCCATGTGTTAACTACTGACACTGAAAGTTCTTTCTAAAGTCCGTGACTCGTGTGGGGTACTCGGTTCCCACCTGTGTCCCCTGGCTGACATACCACCCGTGCTAAACAGTTTATCTTTAATTACCTTGTCAATTCCTCTGAGAAATTTATAGATAGTGATCATGTCTCTCCTAATTCTCGTCTTCATGTCGTGAGGTTTACTTCCAGTAATATTTCCTCTCGGCTCGGGGACTAGCCTGATGGCATACATCTGAAATGTGTGTTGTAGAGAAATAAATGCAGTACATATGGGGGAAAATGGTTAGTCGGTACATTAGACAACCGACGGTTAGAAAGGTGGGGTCCAAGAGCTAACAATTCGATCCTGCAGGCACAAATTGTAAAATACTGTAATTATACACTATAATTCTATGACCACGTGACAAATTAGACAAGAGATGGGTGGGAAGACTGCATAATTGTGGGTTGCCAGGAAGCTTTTCGTCACAATACTCCATAAGGGACTAGTGCACAAGTTCGGGAATTTGGCAGAAGTGACAGTAAAGGTTGAGTCGTGGACTCCTTTACCTTAACGCCTGTCCACTTGACAGCTGAGTGGACAGCGCTCGGGGTTTGAAGTCCTAAGGGTCCGGGTTTGATCCCCGGCGGAGGCGAAAACGAATGAGCAGAGTTTCTTTCATCCCTGATGCACTTGTTCACCTAGCAATAAATGTCTTCTGACTCGAACCCATACTGCCAGGAGCACTCAGCTGGCGCACAGGATCAATATGCAATACATTTTACATTTGCAATATCTTTCCAGCCGGCAATTAACACAGTGCCCTCGACAACCATTCATTACCAACGCTCTTTCTTGGAAGAATGTCACATATGATCGGGATTCCTCCCTTGCTCCTAACTAATTCTATGGCTTTGTTAAATTTCTGTATCAGTTCTTCACTCCTAACTCGTCCAACATCATTACCCAACTCGTCTTAGGTTCTGTTGAATTCCCCACAGCAATTTCTTTGCTTCATTTGCTTTTGCTTTTTGTGACGCAACATAAAGTATACCATAACTTCTGCTTAAACTTAACTCCTGTGGTTAATGTCGTTGATGACTACATAATTGATGTCTTTAAATATAATCGAATGTAGGCCAGAGCGTGCCCTGAAGTTTAAGTAGGAGGTAATTATGATTCTTGCAACATCGAAGGCTTTCCTTAAGTCAATGCAGAAATATGTTGGGAACTCATTGTTAAGGGCTGTGTAAATTCTGTTAAAGTAAATACATCATTGGTGTGCTTTATTTTGGTGGGGAAGGGATCTGTAGCAGATCTGTCATGAATTTATCATGTATAATTTTACAAGGCAGGAGTACAGCTGTTTGGATTCACTGGTGCTTGCATATTTATATGCTTATTTAACATTTGAGAATTTACTGCGTGTTTCTGACGTTGGAAGAAAATGTGTAATGCTACAGTACTCCTATACTGTGTGGCAGGACCCGGTGGCCGCGGAGGCGTGGGGTGGAGTGAGGAACGGGTCCGTCCTGCCGCAGCCGTGTGTCCATGTGCCCTTCCTAGTGAGCGTGGCGGGATCCAGGCTACAGCCCCAAATGCTCCCTGGAGTCGAAGATTGTCTCTACCTGAACGTGTTTACGCCCAGGGTAGGTTGCACGCACCAGCCCTGAACCTTGCAATGATTTATTTGATGTCATTCACATAAAAGTTCATATTTCGAGGAAGGTTGTATTGTACGCCTATATGTGAAATACACCTGCTGGTTTGTTTCTTGAAATATTACGTAATGTCCAATGTAGCTTATATTAGCATATCTGTAGTTTTGTATATGGTGGTCACTCTTGTACTCGGTCACAGGTGGAGCTGTACAAGAGGCTTCCCGTGATGGTGTTTATACACGGAGGAGGCTTCTACTCCGGAGGCACCAATGAATACCTGCCGCACGTCCTCCTTAACCACGATATTGTCCTTGTTGTCCTCCAGTACAGGATTGGGATCTTGGGTAAGTACTTCATATCATCCGTGACGGTACTGCAATTTTCCTCGCGTACTGGGAAGGTGTCACTATAGCGGGTAGTCTCCTGCTCTTGGTCAAGATAAAATGCATATATATAGTATGTGTATGATATTAAGGCTGAAAATGATCTTAACGCCTTTCAAGGTGATATTAACGAACTCGGTGTCCGGAAAGTTTTCAATATCGAAAAATGCAAGCCTCGAACCACGTCACAACTACCAAATCAATATTACCTTGCAGCAGAGTGATGGAGAAAAGGACCTTAGAGTCGGAATCCATGAATCAAAGTTGCACAACAAGTGGGAGCTGTAGTGGAAAGAAGCCAATCAAATCCTAAAAACGGCCAGACTTGACTTTGCTTTCTTTTCCCTGAAATCGGTTATTCAACTGTGTAAATCTCTGGTGTGCGCCTACTTGGATGATTGTATCTAAACACGAAGACCTAGTCTTCAGAAGGATATACTGTAGCTGTTTTGGAGAAAGCAAAACACTGGACAACAAATATTATTCCAGAACTAAGTCAACTCTCATACCAGGAACGGTTGACGGGCACAGGGCTAATATCACTGCGAACCAGACATGACAAGGCTGATCTCATCGAACTTAAAAAAAAAAAAAAAAAAAAAAAAAAAAAAAAAAAAAAAGAGGATGTTGGTCCGGAAAACTTCCATTTTCAGACGTACAACAAACAAGGAGCAACGGTTTAAAGCTCAAAAAGTCAGTGCAGAACAGAAAACAAGAGATGCATTTTCTCCCACAGGGTGAACCACCCATGGAACAGACCCTTCCCTCCCACCAAACCCCTTAAATGCCAAAACATTGCTGCAATTTAAGATTCGGGTAGATCATATCGTCAGGACAAATGAGGTGGAGGGGGGTGGGGGCCTTTGACAAGCCGTCGGCTTCCTATCCTCGTCGAGGTCACTAGAGATTGTGACCTATATAACGGTGCTCAAACTGGAGGTGTGTAATCTGAGGCGGTCTACCAGCAGACGCATTAAGTGACGCAAGCGCGCACTTACTCTGCTAAATACTTTGCGAATTCCAGATGGAGACAAATGTTCGTGACTTTATGGATCTGTAGTGCCTTACGGGCTCTAAAGTGGTTAAGTCCTTGGATGAGGTTGTTATTTTAAAGTATATCATAGTATATTGAGGAATTTGAAATAAATGGCTATCCAGAACTACTAGTGTTGACTACAGACTACACCAATAATGCAAGGTTAACGCAATTTCATTCATGGACAACTGAGAATACATTTATAGACATTAAAAACAAATATATATGCAAGAAATAGCATAGTAACTTTTTCCTTGTCAAAAGAAGCTACTGTTTGTGAGACTTTTCTGGTTTTATATTGTTAGGAGATAGAGAAGTGCTGGCAGGGAGGCAGCTTGGGAATTGGATGACCACTATATACCCTTAAAATATCCTTTTCGATGATTATATTATCCAGGATTCCTGTCGACGGAAGACGCAGTTATTCCTGGCAACTTAGGACTGAAGGATCAGACGCTGGCTCTCCACTGGGTCCAGGAGAACATACACAACTTCGGTGGAGATCCCAACAGGGTCACTATTTTCGGAGAGAGTGCCGGAGGGACTTCAGTGCACTTTCATGTTTTGAGTCCGAAGTCAAGGGGTGAGTAAAGCTGGTAAACACAGGCGGCAGGGGTGTCTTTTTGAAAAAGCTGATGACAGTTTGTGAAAATTCTACTTACATTTGTTCATACGGCCTCGTCTGCTTGTCGTACATTTTCATTGGCTTTAAGAACAATTACTAAAGTCATTCTTGCATATTATATGAATAATGCATTTTATGAGTGCAGTTTTTATATCTTTATCATTTTATTTACCTAATAAAATACCAAAGACAGTTCTCGTATGTTAGAATTCTCGAGAGGAATTACACAATTCAGACTTTGTTGGGTATGACAATGTGCTCATTATCTGCAGGTCTATTTTCCCGGGTGATCATGCAGTCTGGGACGGCCATCTCGCCCTTCTCTACAGGCGGACACCACCGGGAGGTCGCGGAGCACGTTGGCTATTCACTAGGCTGTGACGCCAGCCAGGGCAGTCGCCACCTGCTGGCCTGTTTACAGACCCTCGACGCCAAGAATTTATCAGCAACTATCCAAGATTTCTTCGTAAGTTGTCCAGCGTCTTTCTACTGTCCATAGATGGCGCATAATTTATAAGTTGGGTTGACTCTGTATTGTAGCTGCAATTTTTCAAATTTGTTTTTCTGTTTCCCTTCTAATGCTGCGGTACTGTTTCCTGGACCTGTGGTATCCCTTTCTACAATTCTATGGTTCTTGTAATTTTCTCGCATAATCTCTTTGTAAAAAGCATTGTTTCCTTACCATACCTGCTTAAACCATAGGTGTTTTTCAATGTTGTCCCTTTGGTCAGGTATAAATTTGCCAGCTGCCTCTCATAATTACTCTGGAAAAAAATTGTTGACCTTCTATTTGAGCTTTATTTCCTCATATTCTGGTCACTCGATGCCTCATTTTTATCTTCAGAATGCCAACTTTCTACCTTCTGGCCATTTCTCTAAACTACAATTCCCAGCTTCCTCGAGATATTCAGATGCCATCAGTGACTGCCCCTTCTCAAAGGGGCAACGAAGTTGGCTTCACTGGGAATATTTGTTCAAACCTGACTGGTTCATTATTAATCCTCATTTTTGTGGGTCCATTACCATGTTAGGATACGAAGTTACTTGTGACTACTGCTATGAATTTAACTCTAAATGTATTGCATGCATTGATAAACCTTTGGGCTCCGTAGTCTTCCAATCTTATCTTACTGTTGTTGGAGTCCACTATGACTCATTCTTGTTGCAACTCGGGCAGCTCTTTCCAGGAGAGTAATAACCTTTCTCTGGGTCTTCTGTTATGTTGAGGATTGTATATCAGTACTATTATTAATTTAGGCCCTCCTATTGCTTTGGTTTCTATTAGTCAATGAATCCTTCACAACCTGAGATTGACAGCGCCATAAATTTCTAGCTCTTCTTGATCAACTTAATCTTTCTGGCTCTTAGGACTATGATGAACAAAGCAATCATATAACTTCATAATTTAATACTTCCCCCTCTTCTATTTTTATTTTTTATATTTTTTTTACCATTGTACTTTTGGGGAAATATAATAGTTATGACTTCTGAAAGTTTTAGGTCTGTGATTGCCATTACATCCAGGTTTCCTAATTTGATGGTTTCTAGAGCTTAGTTGCTGTGTAATTCCATACATGTTGCAATACAAGACTGTATTGCAGTAGAAATTGCATAGAAAGAAGTACACTTTCTATGCATTCCCACTTGAAAACACACTAATCCTTAAGTTACATTGTATGTGGTAGCATGTTACTGTTGCCTTTGACTGCGATCAAGATGGAGGACGCAGGCTACATTCGTCTCCCCCTTCGTTGTGCTTTTCTCTGGTTTCTGCAGCTTTCTTCCTTATCTTATTCATATCTAGATAATATATTTACTATCTTAGTTCTCTAGATAGTTCTTATTTGTAGTTCTCTGCATGTACAAGTATGCTCCTCTTCCCTAGATATTTATTTTGTCTTGTCTGTAAATATTATCTTTATTAATTTATCTACGTCCTGTACTGGCTTATCTAAAAACTTTTAATAGGTTGTCTTCACCCGTATGCGACTGGTGGAATTCTTCTCACCACTTCCATCTTCCCCTCTACACCATTCTTTTCTAGTTCCTTCAGCCCCTCTACACCATTCTTTTCTAGTTCCTTCAGCCCTACCACCACCACTATTGCTCTTCTACTCTCAACAGCTGACGAGTGCTCTTTGTGTCCTACAAATTGCTGCTTCCTGGAATGTTTTATTAGACTCTGGAACTCTGTATTTGTTACCCTTTGTCTTTAGTTTATATCTCTTTCGTACATGCATTAAATTGCTTGTGTGTGAGGCTTTGCATATTAGTTTCTCTCCCTATGTTTGGATACTTTCAGAGTTCTAGCATTTACGCAAAGTTTTAATTAAAACGAAAATTTGGTATTAACCTTTGATCCTCGCCAGGAGTGGCTCATTGCCCCGTTGCCTTTGCGGCCGCGCGTCGATGGCGACTTCCTTCCGGATAAACCAGAGATCTTGTTGCGCGAGAGGCGGTACAACCCAGTGGACATCATCATCGGCACAACCTCTCACGAAGGGATGCTCATCGGCTATCGTATGTCCACTCGTTTATTAATTTGTCTTGTTAAATATCAAAATGTGTTGACCTGTTCCTATGGACCCCCTAGAAAATTATAATGAAAATAGTCATATTGTTGTGACATTGACTTTAAAGTTTTTTTTTTTTTCTTGAGCGGTGGCAGAAAGGTTAGTTACATATTCGGTTCAAGATCTTGATCCCCAGTGTACTTAAGCTAAACAATTTAAACTGTTAAACTATATCAGTTCATGGTGCCTGTTTATCTATGGTATAGTTAGTCACAATGAACCCAAATTTTAGGTAACATTATTAGTCTCCAAATACTTCGATTTGTTCACTCGGTGAGCAATGGTGACAATGAAGACAGCATCTCCTGTTAACCTTTATACTCAGAATATACCTATTTCCTGTCCATGCTCTATTCCATACTTGTATTATTAACAACTATTGATCTGGTGCGAGTAAGGACTTGATCATATGTAGGCACCTATGATGTAAAACTTGCTCAGCCAATATTTATTTTCAGCACTCTTTGCTGGGAAGGAAGTATCAGAGGCTCTGTTGACAAACTTCTCGCATGTCGGACCTCTGAGTTTGCTGTGCGATGACTGCTCGTCTGACCCCGCTGACCTCGCCTCAAGGATCTACACCCATTACCTCGGAGGTGTCAATTTCGACCTCCAGGCACAGAGCAGCCAGCTCATAAGGGTATGTATTAACAAGTTTTCAGTCCTTTTCAGTTATTTGCTAATTCAAACTTTTGAAATTATGCTGTGTGGGGGGGGGGGGGGGGTTAGTTACGACAGGGCAACACTTCACGTGTGTGGTAGTTATGGGAGATCATAGGGTGTCGTTCTGTTTATGTAAAGCAGATGTGCGTTCACTGCCTCTACTGATCACCCTATCATACATGCCCTTTCCTGTAACTCTTATATGAATACCTTTACTGTGTGTGCCGTCGTTACGACACGTTACGGTAGATAGCAGGGTCGCATGCAACCTATTATTTGTGTAGTTGTTAGTGTGGTTTTGAAAGAAGGAAGATATAATTGAAAGGGTTCAGATAAGGATTGAGATCATAACAGGCACTTGGAATAGCCCCTATGCAGAGAGATTGAGAAAACTTAACTTTCACTAGACAAACGAAGACTTTTTTTTTTTTTTTGGGGGGGGGGGGGGGGTTACGTGATTGAAGAGAAGTGGTGGATATGATACAACATTACAGGTCATTAATAATTTTTAATTTCCTGCCAAAATTAGAATGCGAAATTATGGGTTTAAGTTGGAAAAGTTTTGATTTTGAAAAAAATGGGCATATTCTGAATAAATTTGTATTTTTAAATTCTTACCATACTGTATTGTTAATTTATGTAGGTTAGTAATTTATTGTATCACTATCTTTAATCCTGTTTACTCTTGTCAACCCACAACAAAATGTGATTATACAACCTTGCCACGTGACCAACAGATGTTCAGCGAGTATCACTTCCAAGTACCTCAAGACATCGCAGTGTTGATGCATGCCAAGCACAGTCACCCTTATAACAAGATGTATAGTTATGAACTTGAACACCGCGGCCAACTCTCCTTTGGCGACTTCTTTGTTCCGGAACTAAGTAACAACTGTGAGTAACCGGCATTGTTTTAAACCTTTTAACAAAATATCTTGTTTTGTGGAATGTTGGAGGCAAGGGAGCCCAGGTAAGGAAGAATATGACGTACCTGACAAGAGTTGCATTGTGATAGTGCGTACTCTATTGTACTGGTGTGAGACGTGGTCTAGTGTGGCATAAGTTTGAGAAGTAGAAATTAAAAATTTGGGATGGTTTCTTTTGTATTAAAAGCATGAAGTAATTGGGTAAAATGTCTTTTAATAGATGTTGAAGATGAGGAATGAGGCGAGGAAGATAAAGGTCGAGTAGATGCCGAGTGAATGTGTGAGGGGAATTTTGATTTTCATGCTTAAAGGGCTTGGCAACAAATCTGGGGAGGAAGAAGGATAATAAATTGAAATTCTGGAAGAGGAAGTGGAACAAGTACCCAACCACTTGGACGGTCGGGGATTGAACGCCGATCTGCATGAAGCGAGACGACGTTCTACCGTCCAGCCAAAGTGGCTGACGTGAGAGGGAAGCTATATGAACTTGATCACCCTACTTCCATTGGGTAGAATTTTCACAGCTCTTGGTTTAAGCAATTTTCCATTTTTTTTCTAAGGTCTTTAAGAGTGTGTCTTCTGAATCTTTACTGATCACTGCTGCTCTTGATCCTGTCCATGCATCTTAATGCAATAAGTTATCTCTGCTTGCATTGAGGGAAGCCTAGTTCTCAACCTAATTTTTTTCATTTTCGTTTTGAAGGTCACTATTTCTAATGACAGTACACGCTGCTCCAGCTCTGCCGTACAGTTATGTTAATGCAATTGCTCTGTATCTAAATATTAGTGTAAAAGACGCAGATAACTATATATTCACAAGAGTTTATTTCCTAATAGCAAGAGATACATTTTACAGTTGTGAGTCACGCGGACGATCTGTACTACCTGTTCAGGGGCGGCCCTTTCCTCCAGCCGCCCTTCGGCCCTCCTTCACGACCCAAGGACTTGGAGCGCGAGGTGGACCTCACAGTGAGGGACCTCATCACAACCATGTGGACCAACTTTGCTGCTTTCGGGTAACTGCTTTAACAAGAGAATAACGAGAGAAACTATAGATAGACGACTGAAATAATAAAGTATATATAATAATAATAATAATAATTAATAATAATAATGGAGTAAGGTTAATAAATTGAATATAAAAGTTATCAGTAACTCAAGACCAGGATAAGTTTCGTATAGTACATTATGGTTGTCGTGGTCTCCAACAGGAACCCAACACCTGACGGTAGTCTGGGCTTTGTGTGGGAACCCGTCCACCAGGACAACTACAGCCGTCTGGCCATCACCACGGCGCCCGCCATGAAGAGCGACGACCGGAGACAGGTAATGTGTTCGGCCAGTACAACACGCCGGCTGAGGAACACACTTTGATTAAACTAAGCTTACAAAATAAAGCAGACAACATGTAGTTAGAACACCAGTAAATCATGACTCTCCTTGGCCTTCTTTGAGTCTTCTATCTAAATAGGTTTATTGTATCTAATACTTATGAGTGATACATCATATCTTTATTCATTAATATACTTAAAATGAGTTACGACTAGGTTATTTAATCAATATAACTGGTTCAAAACTGACTTGGTTAAACTTTTGTGAATCCTTTGCTAATAATATTCAAGCAATTTTTCCCGAGTAAGCTAATTGAACGATTGCAAGATAAGTCTCCCTTAAGTTTTATTTCTTAAATTTTTTCCTCTGCAACATGTCTATCATTTTGTAAATCTTTTAAACACTCGTCAAACCAGGCGATACAGCATTTACAAACTGGATTAAATTGGTCACATTCTTACCTCTTTCCAGTCACGTGACTTCTTGACCTCGCTGCCCACGCCACAGAACTTCATCTTGTTTCCAGAGAAGGTGACCCCAGCCTACAGCGGCTCACAGTTCCTGCTAAGGCAGCAGTATAACTAAGATGGTGAGTTTAGTTTCCCAGAAGAATCCATGGAACCGAAAAAGTGTCCATCGGTTTGTATGTTAATTTTTGTTTTAATTCCTTAATTGCACGGTAGTTTCGCAGCATGGAAAATCACCCTTCTTGACTATAAAGGCCATGTTGGCCGCCGTCCAGGCAGTAGGGACTATTCCAGTGTTGATTTACTGGCTGCTTATTACTGGATAACAAAGTTCCAAAAGATGAGTTTATACTGTACTTTATATTGCTTCAACTGCGCGTGCTTTTAAGTTTTGTTATTTGCAGTATTTCAATGTTTTAGTTTTGTTTAGTAATGTGAAATATAATTACATATTTTCTTGCAGTTTGAGAGACGAAGACGTCAAAGAAATTGCTTCTATCCTCAATCATTAATGCCTCGCATGACCAGCAATGCACAAAGAGTTAAGAGAAATACAGAAATCTGTTGGCTCATACGGGGCAGCTCATATTGATAAAGAACCAAATGTCATATACCTTCCATTGAAACGATTGTTCTTTGAAGCAAACTACAAGAAAATAATGATCTAGCACAGTCTTGTTCACAGATGAAACGAGAATTAACTTGAAAGCGGAAAATATTGAGAAAGACGAACTCTTCATGGTCCAGTGCACACTACCTCTCCTGTGAGCCATGGTGATGGTACAGTGGCTCACACTACCTCTCCTGTGAGCCGTGGTGGTACTATGGCTGCGATGTATATGGCTGGGACTGGCTCTTTTGCCTACTGAGGATGTGACTGCTGATGGCAGCAGCAGTATGATTTCTAAAGTGTACTGAAACGACATACCTGCTCAGATTTAACCAAATACCTCAAAACAAATTTAAAGGCGCTTCAATTTTCCGCAGGATTAGTACTCCCAGTAGTACTGTTTAGGCAACTAAGGAGTTCTTATAACCGAAAAATTCAATGTTCTTGTCTGGCCCATCCATCATCATACTATCATGCAAGAGGAACCACACATCTATAGTTCATCCAATAAAATCAGCAGACTTCTAGATGTTACTTCTGCTCGACTTAGACTGGGTCACATGTGTATCTGGGAATTCTCATTATCTGCTGATGTAGACCTGACCAAATGTAAACTGTCAACAAAATTATTTGCACACCCTCCGTCACTGTGATGGAGTGCGAAAAGATACGTGAATTCAGAGACAGTTCTATAACACATGTTAAGAAATGTGTAAGTATTTCATTCAAAATGATCTGCTACCAGAAATCTTTGCCTAATATTCCCAGATTGCTAACTGTAGGTAGTAACTAAGTGATTGTAACTATCCACCGCTGCCCACTGGGTGGGAGGCGGTGTGCAGGACAAATCAATTGATTTGTGTGCAGGACAAATCAATCACATCAATTGTGACACTAGCTCTCCACATATGTCAGTTGCTTAATTTAGAAACTGTACTTGTGGTCGATCTCGAGCCTATTGTTGATGTGAAGATGTATATTGAATTTTGTAACTAGCTCATAAAGATTGTAACTTGCTTAGCTAAATGAATTGTTGTGTTTAGTCCCTGAGCCCATTGTGCCTCTGTAACCCTTTCCACTACCGCCCACAAGATGGGTATGGGGTGCATAATAAATGAACTAAACTAGCACTCTTGTCTGGCCAAGTCACTCACTCATTCTGAGCACAATAAAGCATGCTTTCACTTAGACAAGATTAAATGTGAATTAAAAAAAAAAGTATATGGTTCAAGACAATGTGAAAGTGAAACGGGACGGGAATTATCAGGGGAAAGCGCCAAGCCATTACGACTATATAGCACTCTGAAAGGATAAGGATTTTGAATGGGACGGGGATGGAGAGGGAGAAAAGGAATGATGCCCAACCACTTGGACGGTCGGGGATTGAATTTTGACCTTCATGAAGCGTGACCGTCGCTCTACCGTCCAGCCCAAGTGGTTGGGAGTGCTCCAACCACTTGGCGCTCCACTAAAGCCCCATTCCAGGTTCCCAAGGCGTGTGGAATGAAATTCTGATAGTTGTACATTCTTGGCCGAGCATGAGAAAAATTACCCAGCGACTGGTGCTGTGCACCAGTAAATATTCTTCGAGGGATCTCATGTCCCTGAAAGACAGAAGAGTAATGGAAGACATGATAACCATCTACAAAATTTTCAGGGAAAATTGAAATGATGGACAAAGACAAACTATTTAGCACGGGGGAAACACGCACTAGGGGACACAGGTGGAAACTTAGTACCCAAATGAGTCTGAGACATTAGAAAGAATTTGTTAGTAGTTAACAGATGGGATGCATTAGGCAGTGATGTGGTGGAGGCAGACTCTAGACAGTTTCAAATGTAGATTTGATAGAGCCCAGTAGGCTCAGGAATCTGTATACCAGTCGAGAGGCGGGACCAAAGAGCCAAAGCTCAACCCCCGCAACCACAACTAGATGAATAAGAGTCGTAGACCTCAAGCAGATAGTCTTAGGCAAAGAGTTTGTATCATAAATATCATAATCATTTATCATAAATAAATAATAAATAAATAAAATTAAAAAAAAAAGTTGCTAAGAACCTTACAATCTCATTTGCACTAATAACTCTTTAAATCTAATTTACTTGGTTTCCTACATAAATATATGTTGAGTTTATATAAAAAAATTATATGCAATGTTTTATTGAATTAAAAAATTACATTTCGCCATATAACACAAGTACATAAATATTTATTACCTTGGGAGAGGGGGACAGGGGGAGGGGGGATCTCGATATAAGCCTGAAGTCCGTATACATTCACAGGCAGCCTGTCCTCAACAAAATGAATTACAACAGGTAAGAATTAAGTAGTACGCATCATCATCTTTGTAACCTTGCAGAGTCTTTGTAACCCTGCACAGGCAGCCTACTCCACGCATCATGTTCTCACTAATATTCAAACAAACCCTCCAATATTACACACACAAATCACAATAGCATGATGCATCAAATAAACAAATCCACAAGGGCCGAAGAAATCCCAGTCGATTAAGGCAGCATCTGGAATCCTCTTGGACGTAGGTTCGAACCCTCGTCACGGCCCTTGTGGATTTGTTCCTCCAATATTCTTTATTTCAAGACAGATGGTCCGCCGAAATGAGCTGTGGTTTCCTGTAGTGTCTTGCCTTTCGTCTCGGGAACAAACGCCAGACAAAAGATAAAGTTAAGGGCACTAATGCTTCCAAACAGGAAATAGGCACCATAGTCGTGGATGGCATCCTGGGGACAGAAACACCGGAGATTAGAACAAAAATGGCATATATTTAGACATAAGAATGAAGGTAACTGCAGAAGGCCTATTGGCCCATACGAGACAGCTCCTAATTATATCCAGCCAATCTCATTCATATATATGCCTAACCTAAGCTTGAAACAATCGAGGGACCCCACCTCCACCACGTTACGCGGTAATTGGTTCCACAAAACAACCATGTTACCGAACCAGTATTTACCCAAGTCTTTCCTAAATCTAAACTTATCCAATTTATACCCATTGTTTCGTGTTCTGTCTTTAACACCCCTATTATTATCATCCCCTTCGTTATGTACATTCATCCATTACATGTAATGTAATATGTACAAGTCACATTGTTACGGACCCGAGCCCAGCGTCCGAGCACGGAGCAGTGACGGCCGCGCCATCTGTGGGTCAGCTTCTGAAACCCCCTCCAAATGGACGACGCCATCTAGTGAGGACGAGATATACTGGCCAGGAGGGCTAGTTTCCCGTCCTGATCAGCTCATAACACAGCCGCTGCTGACCTCTGGTGAGGTGACGCTTGGACAGCAACGCCATCTATGGAGTGGATAGGTGGGCGTTTGTATCTAAGCCAGTAAGTGAGGTGCCCTAGAGTGTCATTAGTACTGATGACGCGTCTGATTACAGAGTCGACCTGGGACTGCTGTAATGGAAGGTGGATCAGTCTACCCAAGGCAGTCGAAGAGTCTCCACGTGTTTGCTGCAGCAGCTGTGAGTCCCCCCCCCCCCCCCCGGATGAACACTGTGGTGTTAGCCTGCCTGTGACGTGGCAGTTGAGGGATTGTCGTACCCGGGGCTGACTGGTGGAGACGCTTAACCACTGGGGTGTTGTGGTGAGGAGAGTGATCTGTGGGATCACACGAGGCTCCTGACTAGGGCTCGCAACCCTAGTATCGGTCGTGGAGTGGCCTACGCAGCGTTGCTGATTGGAACCTGCCAGCTACAGGCTGGATTTGTGGTTGACGGCCTCCACGACGGTGCCCCCAGTGGAACTGTGCAACCAGTTCTCGCAAATTCGTAAAGTCAATATTGACTTATTAACTACGTGCATAGGTGATATACTAAACATAATAGATACCCCTAAAAAGATTCATAGAAAACACCGACCTTACCTAACCTTGTTAGTATCTTAAGATAAGCATCTTATTGCTTCGTAATTACAATTATTACTTAACCTATACCTATTATAGGTTAGGTAATAATTGTAATTACGAAGCAATAAGATGCTTATCTTAACATACTAACAAGGTTAGGTAAGGTCGGTGTTTTCTATGAATCTTTTTAGGGGTATCTATTATGTTAAGTATGCCACCTATGCACATATTTAATAAGTCAATATTGACTTATTAAATTTGCGAGAACGGGTTGACTGTGATTTGGCTGGCCTGTGGCCAGGGTAGACTCAAGAGAATCGAAGGATTCATCGTGAGGCCACAAGAGGACCAAGAGCTTAGCATCGTTGAGCACCGTGAACGTCCAGAGTCTTCAGAGGAAGACTACGTTGTACATAATAGTGTTTATTCCTCCCCCGTGTGATAATCTATATATTATTTATGGTGACGGTGACAATTATATTATTAAGTTTTTGCCTTTGTCTCCCTTCCCCTTTAATTTACTTGCGTTGCGGAGCACACGCCTTGAAAGCCACTACTAGCTTGGGGCCGGATACCCAAACTCTACTTACATCAGAGAAAGAACCCGGTTGTGACCCAAGAGGGCCGTAACACACATTAATTTCACATGAATGGGATGGACGGTAAACGACTGTCTCGTTTCATGCAAGTCGGCGTTCAATCCCCGACCGTCCAGGTAGTTGTGCACCATTCCTTCCCCACCCCACCCCGTCCCATCTGAAATCTTTATCCGAATCCCTTGCAAGTGCTATATAGTCGTAATGGCTTGGCGCGTCTCCTGATAGTTAATTTCACTTTCATAACTACTTGTTCATACTTAACAGTATTGCACACCTCGGTTATTTTGACTAGTTTATTTTTTTTACATTTACTGTGAACAGGGGAAGGGGGGGGGGGTAGATATCGACGCGCTCCACATCCAACACTGATATTCTACCACTATGCTGTTGGCAAAATTGGCTTGGGGAAATTGGAGCTTGTTCACTAATGCTGCGAGACCCCGCATGCTGAGACCTACGGAATGGCTGGTCGTGTTTCCAGGAGTGTAGCGAGGTATTGGATGAGTGCCTAACCATCTTCCGTTATTTACACCTTCTTAGCCTTTAGTGGGTGTAATACTAGGCTTCAACCCTGGCAACCCATAAGGGTTTGGGCCCTCTCCAGAGATGTTCCAAGACAGTTAATTAGCAAAACCTCCCTCGTGTTCTCCTAATTCAGTCGAGTCACAGCCGTTAAAGTGTGACTATATATTTTATGATGGAGTGTTATAAGTTATTGTGGAAGTGGGAAAGAGCGAGGCAGCTCTCACCTGCAGCGGCTCGAAGGTGAAGGTCACAATGAATACACACGTCCAGTTGATGGTGGTGGCTAGGCTGCCTGCAGCCTCCTTCACGTTTGGGTAGAACAACTCGCCTGAATTACATTAAACGCTGAAAATTATGATGCGTACTCGTTCTAACTAACCTACATGTAACAATATCATTATTACTTTATCCACATACACTTTAACCTTGGAGAAAAACTAATTATATAAACAAAACTGGTGATCTAATGGCGACATTTATTGGACAAATCTTAACATCTTCCTCAATATAATTTAAATAAATTAAATAATGCTCATTGTGTGTTTATCAGTTATTATCCCTTAACTGGACTGATTTATTTTTGTGAAGTCATCGCTAAAACAAAAGAGGCTATTACTCACCCATCATAATCCAGGGGATGGGACCATAGCCGATGGAGAAGGCTGTGATGAAGACCATGAGACACACTAGGGGCACCCACCCCAAATTAGTTCCAGCCCATTGCTCGTCCTCTGACTTCATGTAGAAGAACACGCCCAAGCAAACTGCGGCGAGAGCGACAGAGGCATGCATTAATGTGACCATGAAACAGAACCAATATTACCCAACATTTACAGTATCGCGGTTCTATATACGGCTCCCATTGGCAGGCACTGAAATGTCAAGTTATCTTTGAAGCAATGCTAAGAATCCCACCTCACCAGTGTAAAAACTATATTTAGACACTGGACGGTTAACATCATAGACTCAGAGATATAAATACACACGCACATATGTATGGGTGTACCGCCTCTTGCTGAGTTTGTGAGGATCCTCTGAAGAGAATAACATTCGAGGGAGCCATTTTGGACCCTGTGTATGCACTTGAGTGAATAATCCCCACATATATATCTTCAATAATTGGTTAGGTAGATTTATAGATTGTTCAATGAAGATAGCTCCGGTAACGTCTACATCTGTCCAGTAAACATTTATCTAAAATCCTTAACAAATTGCATGCGGCATCTGTCTGTCACTGGAGTCAGTGAACTGATGGACAGGACGAGAGACTTCGCCCTTCTCGTTATATCTATGACAGTAATTACCTGCAGATTCCAAGGAAGTTCCTCAGACTTGTGTTGAATTGTAATGTTAAGACATTTCCTCTTCTGTAAGTAGCGGTTCACCGGTCCTTTTTAACCCTTGTCGAGGTGAACATGTACGTCGTTCATGTTATCCAGTAATGACCTCATGGGTCAGGTCACTACTGCACAGCATTTGGCCTGGGGACCGGCCACGCAATTCATTCAGGTAAACTACCTTTGGTGCCCCTCTGGTTATAGGGAGCACAGATACCCATGCCCACAAGTATTATACATTTAGCTGACACATTTTTTGGCCTTACCCTGTCCTTGGGATGAATTGCAGAATTTGTGTTTTTAAAAACAATTTTTTCCAGTGAGATGGATTAGGCTACAATGTTTATAAATCACCCAGCGTGCAAATGAAACATAACCACCATCTCACATTGACTTGTGGAAGTAAAGCGAGTAACATATTTCTTTGGAACCATTTGGTCACACCAGTAAGTGTGCTGATGAGAAAGAGGTAGTTGGCCCTTACTTATAGAGATGGCCATGACGCCGGCGGAGATGGAGAGCAGCAACTTCCTCCCAGCACGGTCGATGAGGAGGGTGGAGGCCGCTGTGGCCAGCACCTGCACAACCCCCACTATTATGCTGCTCATGTCGTCAGATAACGTGCTGCCAGAGTCCTCACAAAACACAAGCAAATAACAACATTAGGTTCTAGATATAAATATACATAAATAAGTAGTAAGGGAACAGGACTGTGTGTGTGATCTAATTAGACCACATCTACCCATGTTATGAAGACTCCTTCATTTACGTTTATGAACTAAATAAAACTTAATAGTTAAATACAAATTGTAAAAGTGAAAATATAATATTCCTTAAGATGTACATCTTACGACGTTCTTAGTGGAAGGTCGCATCTTAGTGCGACCTTCCTGTCCGAGTTGATTAACTTAAATATATTCAGTGTATATCAAAGTCCGGTTGTATGTCACTTACATGAACATCTATTTGAGACGAAATATAGATACAATGTAAGGATTTCAGAAATTTTATCCTAAGTTATAAGCTCTGTAATCCTCTTTTTGCGCTACGGCTCACAGGGGTAAGTATGGGGTGCACAATAAACTAGCCACCCCCGGCGGCAACAATAAATTCATGAAAATAATACAGAACGTATTATTTTAGTAGAACAGCCAGTCCCTGTCATGTCATGCAGGACTGAGATATGCTAGTTGATTATCTGGAGAGAAAGGCCTTCGTCAAAACATCAACACTGTTCATGGACGGCAAATCCTACCTTAAAACATTCTCATTCTATGACCGGGCGACAGAGAAAAGATAGAAGGGTTGGCGGATTATTGATTTTTGGAGCGTTAGAAAGCCAGGCATGTTAGAAAGCTACACAAAAATTCACATGAGACGAACAGAAGATGAAGACACAACCAAGAGTGGAAAAGGTGATCCACTAGATAAGGAAAGAGACTTCAGATTAGCGGGAGGTCACCAGGGAAGGTTACTACTAGTTCCAGTCCTCGTCCTGATTGTGCGCATCAACTTATCAAAAGAGACTTTAAGGATACAGTATTTCACCTAACTTTTTTTACAGGAAACTTGCATCAGAGTAGCATTAGCTGCATACTTGGCCAACTTAAGAATTACTTTTAAATTACGTTTAGTAATTTGAACAAGGTTGTTCAAAGTCTTGTATGAAATAGGTCGGTAATTATCAGGGGAAAAGCATTAAGCCATTACGACTATATATCTCTTCAAAGGGACGAGAATAAGGATGTAGAATAGGACGTAGGAAAGGAATGGTGCCCAACCACTTGGACAGTCGCGTATTGAATGCCGACCAGCAAGAAGCGAAACCGTTGCTCTTTCGTCCAGTCCAAATGGTTGGGCATATAATATTCATGATTAATTTTGAATCACGTTGCACTCGCATTGATGCCTTAAACAAAATAATTCTTAATAAAGAGGAGAGGTGTGCCATCAGACCTGAGAGCAGAATGACATAAATTAAACCTCATGTCACTGTAAGAGAGAAGTACCAGAATGTGCCACAAACATATTGCTTGTCAGGGGAGTGAATAAAAATGAGTGCACTGAGAAATGTTAATGGAGGCACGTGCTATACACAGTCTCGAATGTAGATATTTAAAAGCCTAATAGGCATGGAAACCTGTAATATCGGCTGATAGTTGATAAGTGGGAGGAGGGACCCGCGGGTCACCCCGACGAGGCGAGCACTAACCTCCACCAGAAGAGCAGAGCTTCCCTATCCACTCGGTAGCTACACTACAAAGCAGTAATAACAAAAACATATTATTTACCTTATCTGAAATAGGTTTTCCCTTGGGCATGTAAAAGATGGGGGGGGGGGATCACGTTATTGGGGGAGGGGGCGTCAAAGGAGGACGCTTTAATTAAGCTCTAAGTTATCTAGTAAACACAAAAAGAAGGTGGGCGAAATATGGCGCGGACATTCCTAGTCACCTCGAAAATGATATTGAGATTGTAGATGACAGCATTGGTGCCAGAGAGCTGTTGGAAGACCATGAGGGCCAAGGTGATCAACAGAGGCTTGAGGATGTAAGGGGTGGACAGGTCCTTCAGTGTCACCTTCACATCCGAGGAGTCCTTCAAAGACTGTTTCAGCTCCTGCATTTCCTGCTCTATGTCATATGATTTGCCTGTAGAAGGGGCAGGAGGTGAGTTTACCTTTCACTGGGGCTCTAACCTACTACCCAGCGAGGCCACCGTGACCAGGACAGTACTAAAGTTACTATTTTAACCAAGCCAGCAAATTCATAGGCTGTTCCTGGATAAGGTGAAGGCCCTTTTGATCTGCTCGAGGTGACCTCGCTGGGCTGCCCGGTCTCGCCCTGCTGGAGGTAGTGTGCACAATCCTACGCACTAATCCACAATGAAGAGTAGTCCTAGCAGAATGAAATATGTACTGCTTAAAATTTCCTCGAAATTTAGACTAGATTGACGAAAAAAACTTCACTCCAAGCTCTGTTACCACTTACCCAGTTTGGTTATTGCCATTATTTTAACTTTTCAATTTAAAAAAAATAGCTTTTCTTTCATGTTTATTTCATTAAATAAACAAAAATTTAAATCTGAATTTCTTGGTCTCCTTCCACTAATATCAAAAAATTATTCAACAATGCATGCTAAATTAAAAGGACTGCTAGTGAATGTATTTTATATATATTTACCAACCTCTAAAGTATTGCATAGACTGCCTGGCCTGCATCTCCTTGCCCTTAGAGAGAAGGAAGTGAGGCGACTCCTTGAGGAAGGCGGCCATGAGGAGGAAGACCAAGCCTAGCGCCCCACACACCAGCGTCAACCACCGCCATGACGACACCACAGACCCGAACACATAAGCGTACAGGATGCCCACTGTAATGAAGAGCTGGAAACCTGTGCCTGGAATCAAGGAAAACGGACGAACGAACGTCAGCCTTTGAAGGGAAATGATTATCTATCATATTTAAATGCATGAGTATCTATCTTATTTAAAGTTGTACAAATAATTCTTGCGAAGCCAGATTCACGAAGCAGTTACGTACGTATTTATGAACGTTTTTCTTCTTAGCATCTTCCTAGCGGCTACGTCGGTATTCAGGTTGGCATTTAAGAAGGAAAATCTTTGTAAGTATGCTCCGTCACACTAAGGTTGCTCTCGACCACTCGTAGCTTTACGTAAACTGGATATAACTCAATTTTTCCTCTACTACACAACACGGAGGATCGATTTTAGTATAAACAAACAATTTAGTTGAATGCAATATATATGCAATATATGCAATATAAATACTATAGGTACACTGTTCGTTTTTTCTTATTATTATTATTAACATATTAGGTACATCTGCATTAGTGCAGCTGCCCTAGACTATATGAAGTGGAGTACAGTGTGTCAAAAAAGCTAACTAGGTGATGCTAAGAAATCCCCATCACACAGGATGGTTAGTCATACAGAGGCATGTGATAAGCGGTCTCCACTGGCAGACTCCGGATGCATTTTGAGGATATCAACAACACAAGATTGAATAAGGTAGCAGTGGTAATACAAGTCCCCATCTCGCAGGATGGTTAGTCATACAGAGCCATGTGTTTAATAGCCTGCACTGGTAAATTTTGGGTATGCAGTGAGGATATCTTCAAGAATACGAGAGTGAACAAAGTAATTGCAAAGCTCCAGGTACCTCATGCCAACTGGTCTGAAAGGTCTAATAACTGGGCATTCAGTGATGTAGTGTACACTGTTCGCTCTCATATACAATGGCAAACACTCTAGGGAATCAGTAATCCACCTTTCACCAATTACGTTCGGGGGTCACTATTTGGCCTGACCTCACATTTGGCCCGACCATGATCAATAGGACAGACCTCGACCAGCCTATGTCCGTCTCGTACCCCAGACCATTCACTCTGCAAAGTTAGGTAAGGCAAGTCCGAAGCGTCCTTAGACGGACAAACATTCTCTTATATAGATGGTAATAGGACGACCAGTTGGTGAATTTGAATAAACGAAAGTCAGAAAATAAATATGCACTTACAGCAGTTGCTTAGGATGTCTAAAGTAAATATTAATGACTAAATTACACTCGTAAACTTTATGTATATAATGTAGATGAATAAACAGAGTGACACTAAATGAATGAGAGCCCATAGCTTACCCAGTGCTCCTCTGATGTCCTTGGAGGCGTACTCTGTGGTGTAGGTGGGCACGACCAGCGAGCTGATGCCCGTACACAGCCCACACAGGATGCGTCCGATGATCAGCATGGACAGGTTCTGTGCCAGCCCTGAGGAGGAGGCACACTTGAGACGCCAGCGCTCAGGAGACGGACACACGCGCGTGCACCAAAAGAAGTGAAATGAGATGACTGGGGAGGTAGTGGAGGCTAACGCCCCACAGTTTCACAAACACCGTCTAGTCTTCAACATTGCAAATAATTCTGAAGTTTACTCTTCGCCATTAATCAAGCTAACATGGACCTTAGCACTGACACTGAGGCACCAGCACACTGCCTCACAGAGAGAGAGAGAGAGAGTGAGAGGAAGAGACTCTCAGAGACAGTTCTGAATGTGGGTCTCACCGACTGATGAAGATAAAGCTACCCAAGAGGGGACACGGGCGCGGGTAAGTGGTAGAGGGTCTCACCGATAAGGATCCAGCCGCCTAAGAGCGGGACAACGGAGGCCAGCATGGTTCCCTTCCTGCCCAGGCTGTTTATGCAGAAGCCGGCCAGCACACAACCCAGGAGCGCCCCGATGCTCAGGGAGCCAGCGAACCACCCTCGTTCCTCCTTTGACAAGTAGAAGCCATCGGTCGAATTATTGTCGGTGGTGTTATCGTAGCGGAACGCTGCAGAGGCCGGCGAGGAGTAGCCGATAGCGGCGCCCACCGCCATGGCCCCCATCGAAGCTGTCAGGGGAAGAATAATATTGCAAGTTATATGATAACAGATGTCTACCTCAATTTGCAACTAGTTATAGTAGTAACTGGCAGATGTAAGAGTAGATTCTCCAACCCCCTCCGCCGTCCCAACCCAGTGCAACAAACAAAGGTAATTATCTACCACCGAAGCTTTATAATTAAAGACATTGCAATGGTTAGAATAACAACTGTAAGCTGGTAGGGACCGGACACCCCGGAACCCGCCGGCCTCAGCAGCCACACACTGACCACCGGGAAGGCAACCCATCCTTCGAATTGTCAGTACGTTTTAATACTAAGTGTAATAAGTAAATTCCCTGACTGCCATACATAATAACAGCACTTATGGGGCTGTTATCTTTACCTCCCCATTTTTGGAGGCCGAGCTGGGGAAGGTTAGTTTACTCGGCGTTAATCTACACCATTTATTAGTTACATGTTGTATATTGATCTCAGAAGCCAAATTAATGGACACTTCTTTACTGCTTTTTGGGGAAGCTAACAGCTCCAAAACATAAGGAATCTGCACGACTTAACCTTCTAAATGAACGTTTTTTGCTCAAGTTGGAGAATCAGGAAGGTGCTTCAGTGGAGTAGGGAGCAGTCACAGGAGTGACGAGTGAGCGCCAGACGAGTGGCTACCAGAAGGGTTCCACAGGAACCCTGCGGAAGCCCCCATAGGAATGAGTGGCCACAGAGTACTGACATTTGAGTATCTGGTGGAGGTAGGGATAACCTATCCAAGGATGGGATCAGAAAAGAAGAGGCTGGCTTGCCGAAGAGGAAAATATGATGAAATGAGGAACTTCCTAATGGGAATACCATGAGAAATAGAACTCAGAGAAAAGACTGTACAAGATATGATGGACTATGTCACCCAGAAGTGCCAGGAAACTGCAGACAGGTTTATCCCGATCCAAAAGGAGAAAAATGAAAAGCAATAGAAGAATCCATGGTTCAATCAGGCATGTAACGAAGCAAAGCAATTGAGTAAAAGAACATGGAGAAACTACAGGAATAACAGAACACTAGACAGCAGGGAGAGATACCAAAGGGCCAGGAATGAGTACGTCAGAGTGAGGAGAGAAGCAGAGAGAAAATATGAAAATGATATCACGAGTAAAGCCAATACTCAACCAAAACTGTTCCACAGCCACATCAGGAGGAAAACAGCAGTGAAGGAACAAGTGATGAAACTGAGAAAATGGGAGAACAGATACACAGAGAATGACAAGGAGGTATGTGAAGAACTCAACAATTAAGAGATTCCAGGAGGTCTTCACCATAGAACAAGGAGAAGTCCCTGCACTAATGAGGAGGCAAACCAAACAACCTTGGAGGAATTTGACCTCACCAGTGATGAGGTCAAAAAAAATCTGTTGTAGTTGAATGTGTCAAAGGCTGTTGGGCCTAACAGAATCTCACCATGGATACTAAAAGAAGATGCAGAGGCACTAAGTGTGCCACTCTCTATGGTGTATAACAGTAACATACCACAAATCAGTGGTATGCTTCCAGACTAGTCCCAGAACTGTGAGGTATGAGTTACGAGGAAAGGCTACAGGAGCTAAACCTCACGACCCTGGAAGACAGAAGAGTAAGGGGAGATATGATAACCACCTATCAAATTTTCAGAAGAATTGACAGGGTGGACAAAGACAAATTATTTAGCATGGGTGGAATATGAACATGGGGACACAGGTTAGAAACCGAGTGCCCAAATGAGCCACACAGACATTAGAAAGATTGTTTTCAGTGTTAGTAGTTAATAAATGGAATGCATTAAGCAGTGACGTAGAGGAGGCAGACTCTATACACAGTTTCAAATGTAAACATACTGCTTTGGTGATATGTTCACTCACAGGATGAGAGACGCTGTCCAATAAAGTGACAGTATGTGAGCACTTACACGAACTGACCAAGCAAGTGAGTCCTTACACGAACACACTCACTGATAACATAATCTTGGCCACCAGCACTTACGGGCATGAGGGCAGTGAAGCCTAGCTCAACTTTACATACGTATCTTATCGCATTTTGTACATACAACATCCTATAAATAATCTAATATTGATTTCCTATTTACAGATATCAGAGATAGCTTCGTTGTTTGAAAGAACTACGACTTCTGATATTCTGTTTTGTAAACAATAAGGAGATGTAGAGGCGGGCGCGCACTGACCTGAGAGCGCGGCGAAGTACTGCGTGCCGTGGGCTGGCCTCTTCCAGGCCTCCTCTTCCACCACTAACTGTGCTGCCGACCTCTCGGGCTCCATCCCTCTCCTGTTCCTGTTACTGCTCCTGACTGTCCTGTTAGTGCTCCTGCTGCTGACGTTCCTGTTAGTGCTCCTGTTGTAGGTGTTTCTATTGATGTGTTGTCCTTACTGATTGGTTCCGTTTTGGGTTCACAGTGCAGTTTGGCTGCTTATACCAGCAACACTCGACACACACACCTAAATGCAAAACTCATATAAAATATATACATATATATATTAAATTTATATAAATGAAATATGAACAATGAAATAAAACAATTACAAATATAAAGTGGGGTAAACAAATATACACAGAAATCACAATAGCGTGATGCATCAAATGAACACATCCACAAGGGCCGTGATGAGGGTTCGAACCTACGTCCGGGATGATCCCAGTCATCCCCACACAAAGTGGGGTGGTAGAAGAGAGTATGTGTGACAGGGTTTGCGTGCCCTACAAGGCTCAAGGTTGGTCACCCCCCACCCACTCACCAGTCACCCTACAAAGTTGGGTGAGGGGCAGCTCCAAGCGTCACTCTTCCATTCTTGGACAGACAGACATTCTTGAAAATATAGATACCGAGTTTTCTCAGTGTTAAGTAATGCGTAGCGCTGATTCGTTAACAACCTTAGCTTAGTAAGCGATGATTATTTAAACGGGATATGTTGTGGCAACACTTGTGTTCAAGGAGTCTACATATGTTGTGGCAACACTTGTGTTCAGGGAGTCAACATATGTTGTGGCAACACTAGTGCTCAGGGAGTCAACATATGTTGTGGCAACACTTGTGTTCAGGGAGTCTACATAGGATCGTATGGAGACCTTCAGCTGTTGATATATTATCAACATCATAAATTATCATGATTAAAGATGTTATGCCTTGTGTTCTTATATGTGTGTTTTGTTTGGGCCAATAACACTGCTCGCTTCCACACACCTGACACTGTGTCACCCCACACCTGACCCTGTGTCACCCCACACCTGACCCTGTGTCACCCCAAGACTGACACTGTCACTCCATGCAGGTCAGCTTGTCGATATTTTATGTACTCAGTAACTTGAAAGTCAGATCAGTCGTCACTATGAGTGAATTTGTTCATTTAACATTGTGCATGGACATAATTTAAATCATCGTATAATGTCGCAAATATTTTAGATGATGCGTTCATCTGTTGAGAACCAGAAAAGGAAGACTTTTATGTTAAGACCGGAAGAGAAACAAACGTGTTCTGTCTTCATGCTTTATTGCAACAGCAACAAACAATGACGTCACAGGTATTCGTTATATACCTTACTATTTACAATTTTTATAAACAAAAGAGCATCTGCTCAAAATATTCTACACCTAACCTCTGTGGTACTTAATCGTACAATATACCTAATCCTAACACTTTTATAAAGAGCTTTATGAGTTGGTAACACAGCTCTTCAGGCATGCTCATCACGGGTACATAATTATAAGCCTTTGTGATAGCCTCGCGGTGAACCAATAGATAACGTAATTAACTAGAAACGATATATTTTTTTAAATTTGATCTTATCCTCATATTACTTATTTTTTACTGCTGCCTTCTGAACCACTGATACCATCTTTTTCCCTCTCCCCGATACCTGATCATCTTCCTGATACCTGATTCCTTATATTCTTCGTCTTCCTGATGTCTGATATTCTTCCTATAAGCAGCTACAGTGCCATCTAGCTAAATATAATACACTAAACAATGGCCAATTTGACAACATACGCCTAAACACTATTGATGCTTCATTAAATGATTGACGATAATTATAGTTTTTGGCAAAAATTAGGATCTAATGAAATTGTTCGTTAATCTTCAGAAGACTTCACACACTGATAAATATGCTTACTTTCTCCTTAATGTACAACACAATGGGGTCAGAGGTCACTGTCATCAATACCTTTGATCTTATCTCAGTGACAGACACTATAGTGCGTCGCTCGACGCCTAGTCTTCCTACGCTCTCGTTTACCATTGGTGTTCTCCAAGATAGCATTGTTAGCCTACTCCTCTGTCTCCTGTACATCAATGATCAACCGAAGATGAGAAGAAATGTTAGCACTGTGGACAAATGCCCGACAGACCACTGGAACATTATCTAACACAGTGCAGTTACAAACCCAATAAGATTTCAACTTAGATTCAACAGAGCAGAAGTTGTAACTTAAACACATGGGGCAAAATCTTACTGAAGCGACCATACGAGTCATAAATACTCATACTCCGCCCAAGTAAAACAGAAACAAGCAACGCTTAGTGGGCCAGCCAGAGGCTTAGGGCCCGCGCAGGAATATCCCTGCAAAAAAAAAAAAAAAAAAAATGACCAACCAAATTCTATCAACCAACTCTACAACTTTCATCTGTACCGCAGACTCAACCTCAAACACTTCAGTTTATGTTCAGTTTTTCAGTTTATGCTGCATCATGATGTGGGCTGCACAGCCCGTCCTCCAAGAATGGGGAGGTAAATGTAACAGCACAAGTAAGTGCAATTATGTACTATTCATAGCAGTCAGGAATTGTACTTATTTTCACTTAGTATTAAACTGTACTGTTAAATATATTGTAAATATTTGAGTTTACCTGAAAAGCTGAATAGAAAACCACAACCTAACCTAACCGTCTTAGTGTTTGAAGATAAGCATTTTATTGCTTCCTAATTACAATTAGTACTTAACCTATAGCTATATTGATATTACAGTTTTATAAAACTAATAAGACAAAACTAAAATATGTCAATAAATTGTAAAGTAACTCAGGATATTTTCAAATTTTGTATAAAATCTCTATTGTTTAATAAAACTGAAAAAGAAATTCCTGATATTTAAAACTTGTGTATAACAAATTATCTCTAAGATTTTACCCTAAAATTCTGAGTGTCTTAACAGAAAACGAAGAGAAGACATGGGGAGGTGAATGTAACAGCACAGGTAAGTGCAATTATGTACTATTCATAACAGTCAGGAATTGTACTTATTTTAACTTAGTATTATACCGTACTGTCGGGCTGCCTCATAATGTGGGCTGCATCAGACCAGCTCGGTCTCTAGATTATCCACCACATACCAGATACAAAATGCTATCCTAACCAGAAATATACAACCTCAAACCACAAAGCTAACCTTGGGAAAGAAAACGTGGATATTTATAAGCTGCTACTTTTCATAGTAGTTTGTAATTTGTATGTTAGGGCCGGTAAGGTAGATAATGTAGTGTATTGGTAGTGAGGACGGGTTGGAGCCGAGCAACTTGTATCTCTGATGTATCCAGAGCCTGACTGACTCCACCAGAGCAGAAATGCCATACAAATACAGGATCCTAAATTATGATAAGGCTTCTGAAAAGTAATACGATGTTGTATTACAACATGAATGATGTATCTACATAGCAGCCGAGTGTATTTTCACCCTAAATGTTATTAAAAGGCTTTTCTGCTACTTTTGCTAACCTCGCATAATTGTTACTGAAAAATTGTATGTGTGTAATAAAAATTATACTCATCACACCAAACTAAAACATATTGTACTGCCAAATATTACCGTAAGAATTATTATGGTATTATTATTACCGTAAAATTCATCAGGTAAAACCCCAAAATAGGGTTTTTAAAATGTCCACAAAACGCTGCACGTGGTTATAGTGGTTCCAAGGCACAAGTACTAAACCATTCACTATTAGTTATATAACTATTGACAACTCTGACTAAGGCTTCCAGGACGCGGGAGACTCCTCAATCCGTCATTCTAATAGACCGTCGCATAATGACGTACACTGTACCTAAGGCCAAAAATCGTCGCTGCCTAGAAAATGGCAACAGCTGGCGAAATAGACAAACTGTCCTATTTTGGATCCTATGGTAGGTAAGTACAAGGGCATTTCAGTACGACAGTTTCTTGCCGATGTGAAAGCTTTGGAGGACGGGCTGGACTCCTCTGACATTCCATCATGGTTAAGTACTCTGAGGAAACACTGTGTTTGATTATCAGTCAATTCTTACTACTGACATATCTGTGTGGCTGAGCGTGTTGACGAAGCCTATCTGGTCACGACGCGGGAGGGGGAGAGTACTTGATGTTTTTGTGTTCCGTATCTGGCCAGACTATCTGGAGAGCGTGAGAGATACGTCAAGTGGCTGTCAGGCCGTGACTGTCACCCCACACCCATGAGCAGGACGGATGCCAGGGCAGGCTGTGACGGTCACGTCACTTCCTCGTGCATAGTGCCAAAGGGACACATCATCATTTTGTAGTGTTTAACCACCCTGTATAAATGATAACTAATTAATGGGAACTAATAGGAACTGCCTTATTTGTTTTACTGTGATAAATAATGAAGAGAAATAATTGACCAGTTCGCAGCTGCGCAGAGATACCGATGTGGGTATTGGGAGGTCATGGAACTCTAGTCAACATGAAACCAGGGTCAATATATTACAGTCTGCCGTGTAATTAAGTTTATACAGTGATATTGTGCGTTTCCAATCCGTCCTCTTGCAAATTACGTCGCTTTTCGCTCGTATGCTATGGCCAAAACTGGACGTAAGTTGAAATGAAATCAGCTCACGAAAGTGATGTACTGTTCCGTTTTGTTTTGAATCCTCCGACTTACTCGGTCAGGTTAGGAGAGCAAACTTTCAATTAATGTTTTGAAAACTTCGGAGAACTTTCTGCCTTCCTAACCTACTTTAACTTGCTGTTTTGGAAAAAAAAATCAAAATTTATTTTCAATGAGTTTTCATTTCAAATTACGTCTTTTTTCGGCGATACGGGCAAACGGCCAAATTCAGACGTAATTTGTAAGAGGACAGGTTAGACGGTTCCTAGGTTCCCCTCGTTCTGTTGCTATTCCTTGTGAACATTTCGTCTATGTCCACTCTGTCAATCCCCCTGAGTTTTTTATACGTTCCTATCATGTCCCCCCCTCTTCCTTCTTTTTCCTAGTGCCGTAAAGCACAGTTCATTTAGGCGCTCCTCATACCCCATCCCTCGTAACTCTGGGACGAGTCTCGTTGCAAACCTCTGAACCTTTTCCAGTTTAGTCTTATGCTTGACTAGATATGGACTCAATGCTGGAGCCGCATACTCCAGGATTGGTCTGACATATGTGGTATATAATGTTCTGAAAGATTCCTTACACAAGTTTCTAAATGCCGTTCTTATGTTAGCCAACCTGGCATATGCCGCTGATGTTATCCTCTTGATATGAGCTTCAGGGGACAGGTCTGGCGTGATATTAACCCCCAGGTCTTTCTCTCTCTCTGACTCTTGAAGTATTTCATCTCCCAAATGATGCCTTGTATCTCCTGCTTCCTGCCCCTATCTTCATTACATTACATTTGCTTGAGTTAAACTCTTAACAACTATTTGTTCGACCATTCCTGCAGCTTGTCCAGGTCTTCTTGAAGCCTCAAGCTGTCCTCCTGTGTCTTAAGGAGGACTTAAGCTGTCTGTCTCCTGTGTGTGTGTGTGTGTGTGTGTGTGTGTGTGTGTGTGTGTGTGTGTGTGTGTGTGAATCACAAACTCAATTCCGCAGATATGGCTGTAAAAACAAACGATTATATTGCTGTCTATCAATTCGTGCTGTAACAGCCCTACCGTGAGCAGACCGGCAGACGGTCAGAGCTGGCGTCTTCTCTCCAAGCGACGTCAACAAACAATTCTCCTCAGCAAGCGTGCCCTTAGAGCTGGCGCCACCACAACACTGACCACACTCTACCATCACCTCCCTCACTACAACCACCACCACTCGTGGCGACGCCACACCACCACACTGGCCACTTGCTGACCCCCCCCACCCCCCGCCGGCCAGAACTACTGCCGGGCTTCTTCAAGGATCACTTACGTCGCAGTAATGGTCATTGACGCCGCCGCTATATCTTAATGGTCTCCACGAACCCTCTATCACTTCCTCACACTATCACTCACACTATCACTCACCTGCGCAAAATGGGAATCACAGTCGTGACGATATGCACTAGACCCCACGGGGCGGGAACTGCCCTCTTTGTGTACATGCCGGAATTTTATCCACTTACTCAGTCTAGTTCCTTGCCTCTCTGTCTGTCAGTCTGGTGTGTTGACTTCCACAGTCACCAGACGGCACCTCTTCCCGGGGCCAGGGCGGCCCTGCCACCCACACTCAATGTATTTAATGTTCTCACTACTCAGTGTACTCACAACACTCTCCTATTTACTCTAAACTTCACACTTTTCTTTTAATTAATAATATAAATGTTTTCAACACACTGCGTCAAATAGCGTATATTTGAGCCCTTAAGTATTGCAGCTCCCGGGTCCCAGAGTGGGGCCAGGAGGCCATGCTTACCTCACCCTGACTATCACCATCACCCTGACTATCACCATCACCCTGACTATCACCATCACCCTGACTACCAACATCACCCTGACTATCACCATCACCCTGACTACCACCATCACCCTGACTACCAACATCACCCTGACTACCAACTTCACCCTGACTACCACCATCACCCTGACTACCACCCTCACCCTGACTCCCACCCTCACCCTGACTCCCACCCTCACCCTGACTACCAAGGACTGAGGGAGAGGTCATCGTGTCGCGCCTAATAACGTAATAGCTGTACCTGTGTGCTATATTATTTTTTTAACTTTGCTCACAAGTGATTCCATTGTGGTATCTGGCCTTGGAGGCGTAGATGGAGGCGACTTCCACGAATTCTTCTTGCAGTATATTCCACTTGTGAATAGTTCTTTTGTATTTCTTAAGACTCATTTGCGTGTCTGGCTTTATCTATAGTATCTGCATTGGGCCGGGGGCTTGAAGTGACCCACTTCAAGACCCCGGGGCCAATGCAGAAGCTGGACCGAATGACCCTGCAACAGGAACGGAAGCCACCAGAAGAACATAAACTGCCAACATATCACACTCCTAATTTACTGCCCCATTAGTATCCCATTTAATGTCTTTCATCCATATCACCTACCACCGCACCATTGGAGGATATAACCAGGTGCTAATGCAGTAGAATTTGTCTTTGAGAATGTGAAGTAGGACCTTACGAAGCGCATCACTTACCTAGAAGGTCATCTTCATCTTCATGCGGTTCCTTGTTCTCCTAGTCTATCCTTCCGTGATTGAAGTCCCCCATGATGATCAGATGGGATCTGTTTCTACAGGCAGCAGAGGCTGCCCTCTCAATTATAGTGTTTACTCCCATGTTGTTGTTGTCATACTCTTGCCTGGGTGTTCTGTCGTTTGGTGGAGGGTCACTGCTACTACTACTCTTGGTCACACACACTGTACTCACCCAGTTGTGCTTGCGGGGGTTGAACTCTGGCTCTTTGGGTCCGTCTCTCAACTGTCAATCAACTGGTGTACAGATTCCTGAGCCTACTGGGCTCTATCATATCTACATTTGAAACTGTGTATGAAGTCTGCCTCCTCCACATCACTGCCTAATGCATTCCGTCTGTTAAGTACACTAACACGGAAAAAGTTCTTTCTAACGTCCCTGTGGCTTATTTGGGTACTCAGTTTCACGTACCACCCGTGTTAAACAGTTAATCTTTATCTACCTTATCAATTCCTCTGAGAATTTTGTAGGCAGTGATCATGTCTCCCCTTACTCTTCTGTCTCCCAGTGTCGTGATGTGAATTTCAGGCAGCTTTTCCTCGTAACTCATGCCTCTTAGTTCGGCGACTATCCTGGAGGAATACCTTTGAACTTTTCCCAGCGTCATCTTGTGCTTGACAAGGTACGGGCTCCATGCTGGGACCGCATACTCCAGGATTAGTCTTACATATGTGGTATACAAGGTTCTGAATGATTCCTTACACAGGTTCCTGAAGGCAGTTCTGATGTTAGCGAGCCTTGCATACGCCGCAGATGTTATTATTTTGATGTGGGCTTCAGGAGACAGGTTTGGTGTGAGATCAACTCCTATATCTTTCTCTATGTCAGTTTCGTGAAAGATTTCATCTCCCATTTTGTGTCCTGTGTCTAGCCTTCCGTTTCCTCCGCTTAGTTTCATTTCCTTACATTTACTCGGGTTGAACTTTAGTAGCCATTTGTTGGACCATTCATTCAGTTTGTCTAAGTCATCTTGTAGCCTCCTACTATCTTACCCCAACCTCATATTGTTTGTGTGTGTGTGTGTGTGTGTGTGTGTGCGCGCGCGCACTAGAGCAACGCCACAACACTAGCTTTTTCCCACTACACACGCTTGACCTTGGCAGCAGACCTCACCACACTGGGCCCCGCCATATCCTGACGACGCTCTCCTCTACACCAACCTCTCTGCACGGATATCCGTTATCACTGAACATATTACATTGCCGGACCCAAGTGTGCCGTGCGGCTGGTGGAGACCAGTAAGGCCGGCAACGTTACATCTGGCTTTACGTCACTGTACGCACCTGTTCGCAAAACAACATTAGCAGCACCTGTTCACTTGGTAACAACAGCAACAGCCGTCTTAACATGAAGATTCCTCAGCACAGCAACAACTAAAACCACACACAGGAGCAGGAAAAGTGAATACAGTACCTGCTAGAGCTTCGTGGTTTACTAGAAGAGAAGCAAGGACCGGCTTGGAGGGGCGCACTGACGGCGACCACAACACACTGACGGCGACCACAACACACAGGCGCCTGGGCCCCAAACAGTGGTGGGGCGGGCTGCCAGGCCCACACGCCTCTACACGGACCCTAACACCCCTCGCTCTCCAGCATAATTTATTGGGCATCCCATACCCATCCCACGGGTGGTAGTGGACTCCGTACCCCCATCTCATGGGTGGAAGTGGACCCCATACCCTATCCTGTTGGAGGTAGTGGACTGCATACCCCATCCTATGGGAGGTAGTGGATTGCATACCCCATCCAGTGGGAGGTAGTTTGTTTTGATTGTTGCCGCCGGAGGCGGCTAGTTTATTGTGCACCCCATACTCATCCTGTGAGCGGTAGCGCAAAAAGCATTACAGAGAGCACAATTTATCAGACCTCATCTTAGATTATTACATAAACAATTTCATCTATCCTTCACACTTTTCAGTTACAATGTCAGCTAGTTACAGAGAAAGTGCTATTTCAAGAGCTATATATTTACAGTAAGTCATTATACATTAATGGTAGGTCTTATCGCTAATAAATAATAGTTTGACCAATGGAGATATTACAGAGTCATAGGGGAGCTTCTGTTTATTATTAGTCTTCAAAATACACTATTTGTTTCTGAATCTCATATGTCATTTATGTACTAGAAGCGAAATGTGGATACAGTGCAAGGATTTCAGGTAATTTATCCATGGTAATAAAAAAGTTGCCATATCATACAGAGTGAGCTTCGATTTGTCTCTAAATGGCTCAATTTTACTACAATCCAAGATATAGTGTTCGAGTGTGTGTCCCTGTCTTTGTCCACACACTTTACACTTTTCTTCATCTAGATTCCTATACAAGCCGAACTGCCAGAAATACTTGTAGCCAAGTCTTATACGAGCTGTGACAACTTCTGTTAGTCTACTGACTTTGTTACTTGCCCCATACACATGTTTTACTTCACACATTTCATTGCGATGAACAAAGGACCTGCTAGTTTCAGTTTGCACTGTTCTACTTTCTTCAAATCCATCCAGGAGTTCTCGTCTAATGACACTTTTAAGGGACCTATTTGATAACTCAAGATTCCGTTCAATACTGTCTTTATTTACTGCAGCCTTAGCAAGGCCGTCAACTTTGTCATGTTCCTGCAGGCCAATGTGAGAAGGAATCCCCAACATTTTTATATTTACTCTCTTGCTAAGTATTCTTATATATCTACGTCTAGCTTCCAAGACAAGCACGTTATTACTTGATTGCAAACTGTTTATTGCTCGTAGTGAGGAAAGGGAGTCGAAAATAATTAAGCTGTCTACTTCAGTGTTGTCAATAATTTCGAGTGCTACCAGTATTGCTACCAACTCTGCTTGCATTGTGGATGCCCAGTTACTAATTCGGATATTCCTTTGAATTGTGCTGCCATCGGGCTGATGAGCAATAACAGCACTTCCTGCCCTCCCTGTAGCTGTATTGAGTGATCCGTCAGTGTATATGGTCTGTGCTATGTTGTTTTCAGCTTGTATATTGTGAATGTGTTCTATGTGGCTTAATTTAGCAGCAAGGTGAGCATGAGGGTTCTTTGTGATTAGTTTCTTGGTGGGGTATGCAGGGGTCAGGATGTCAAAAGGTACTATCTGCCAGGCTGGAAGGAAGTGCTGTACTCTTTCATCTGTATATACATCGTGCAGTCCCATCATTTTAATATGAGTGGCTGTTCTTTGAATCCATTTAGACTCGCTGGTTCCATTTCGTATGTGTTCTAACAGTTCAACTGATGCAATGTTGTTTTTGTTATCATGCAGAAGCTTTAGTCCCATCATAAGATTAATTTAAAATATTCTATCTCTAATGCTAAGTATATTTAACTCTTTCCGCATGTTGAGAACTTTGGTAGTTATAGGACAGCCAAGTATAAGCCAAGGGCTCTGAAGTATGGTGTAGTGGATACAGTGCGTAACTGCCACCTTGATGGCCAGTGTTCGAGTCACCTGGTGGGTTGAGTGACTAAAAAGTTATATACTTCAACTTGTGGTTATAAGCAAGTCTGTGCATTAAGCATTTGACACTTGAATTCTCCCACATAACAGGGCTTGATGGAAGAACACGAGAGGTCCCTCACTATCTCATTGCCTGGAGAGGAATGGAGTTCTGGTTGGTTAAATACCCCAGAATTCCTACCTCTTTCGGGCTCTGAAGTATGGTGTAGTGGATACAGTGCATAACTGCCACCTTGATGGCCAGTGTTCGAGTCCCCTGGTGGGTTGAGTGTCTAAAAAGCTATAATATACACTGAAAACTCACACCCCAGAAGTGACTCGAAGCCATACTGCCAGGAGCAACGCAACTGGTATGTACAGGACGCCTTAACCCACTTGACCATCACGACCGGACAAAAACTGATGGTAGCCGAGGCTATTTAGCCCATCAGCCCGCCGGCACTCTGATGGTAATCTTGGGCATAGCATTTTATCAAATCATCTCATTCTTTGGGGCACACGTGAGGAACACAAATGCGAACAAGCCTGAATGGTCCCCAGGACTATATGCAACTGAAAACTCACACCCCAGAAGTGACTCGAACTCATACTGCCAGGACCAACGCAACTGGCAGTTGCCTTAGACGACCGGTGAATGGAAAAGCGTGGCCCAAGAGCTAAAACCGAATCCAGCAAGCATACATTTGTGAGTAGTAGTAGTTGGTTTAGAGTCTAGACGCGCGTGGTGGACCAAGGACACGAGGGACTAATATAGTCAGGGATGAGCCTGGCGCCTTGACGAGGCTGTGCCAGACTTTGTATGTCCCCCTGACCTTGCTTAGTGTATATACTCCCTGGCTGCTCCGTCATCAGCCTCAGCCCCTCCAGTGTCCTCAAGGTTAGCACAAGGTTAGGTTAAGACAGGTTAGGTTAGGGTAGGTTAGGTTAACACAGATTAGGCTAGACTGGGTAGGTTAGGACAGGTTAGGTTAGCACAGGTTAGGTTAGAACAGATTAGATTAGGACAGGTTAGGTCAGGGAGTGCATCCAGACGGCAATCAGTCAGTCAGACGCATTTCTCAGGAAAATAAATTACGCAGTCAACCAAAAATCAAACAAACAACGACCACTTAGTAGTACAATTAAATATATTAGTTAATTGTTTTGCTCAACAACAAAACCAAATGGGAGGGGGGGGGGGAGACGGCGTATGGGGAGTGGTAATGGGTACCGGTATGGGGAATTGGTATATGAAGGACTCACCTAGTTGTACTCAACTGTCAATCAACTGGTGTACAGATTCTTGAGCCTATTGGGCTCTATCATATCTCCACCTGAACCTGTGTATGAAGTCAGTCTCCACCACATCACTGCCTAATGCATTCCATTTACTAACTACTCTGACACTGAAAAAGTTTTTTCTAATGTGTCTGTGGCTCATTTGGGTATTCAGGTTCCATTTATCACTCTTTGTGCGCCTACCACCCTAGTTGATTGATTGATAATTACCTCAATCTGTTCAGTCAGTTGAGATTGATTGTTCAGCTGCAATGCAATGTATCTTATAATACTGGTAGTCATTAATTAGTTGTAAATTCTCTAAGGTCTTTTGGGATAACATGGTCCTTCTTGTGAGTCTACCTCAAACTAAAGTGCACCATGTGTGTGTGTGTGAGGGGTAGTGTGGAACAGCACAATGTGGAACCTCCAGCAGTAGAGTGTGGAACAGCACAATGTGGAGCCTCCAACAGTAGAGTGTGGAGCCTCCAGCAGTAGAGTGTGGAGCAGCACAATGTGGAGCCTCCAGCAGTAGAGTGTGGAGCCTCCAGCAGTATAGTGTGGAGCAGCACAATGTGGAGCCTCCAGCAGTATAGTGTGGAGCAGCACAATGTGGAGCCTCCAGCAGTAGTGTGGAGCAGCACAATGTGGAGCCTCCAGCAGTATAGTGTGGAGCAGCACAATGTGGAGCCTCCACAGTATAGTGTGGAGCAGCACAATGTGGAGCCTCCAACAGTATAGTGTGGAGCAGCACAATGTGGAGCCTCCAACAGTATAGTGTGGAGCAGCACAATGTGGAGCCTCCAGCAGTAGTGTGGAGCAGCACAATGTGGAGCCTCCAGCAGTAGTGTGGAGCAGCACAATGTGGAGCCTCCAGCAGTAGTGTGGAGCAGCACAATGTGGAGCCTCCAGCAGTAGTGTGGAGCAGCACTAGGGTCCAGTAACACAGTGCTGAGTGTTGACGTTTTTAAACATAATATTAAAACTGTAAACAGGGTTAGGTTAGTGTGATCAAGGCGGCAATTGTTGTCCTCTAACGGTACTCGCTCAAGCATATATAAACCTATACTTTAAACAATTCGGCGATCGTGTGAGAGGTATGATATTTATTCAATAAATAAAAAAGAACTCATCTACAAACCAATATTTATTTAGGTATTTTCTAAACCAAAATTTATCCAATTTATATTTATTGTTTCCTGTTTTATATATAATTTATATTTAGCACCGTGTTAATATTACCGTTGGTGTAAGCTGTCATTCGCTTGTAAACTTGTCATAACACTCTGGACTTCGCCATCCTAGAAAATGTAAAATTATGACACTGATATCTCTTCATACGAGAGGTTATGCCCAGGATTGACATGAGATATCGTCTGGGTGTTATATCTCTGCTTGTGTTCCTCTGTTATCAATATTTTTGTATAAAGGTCCCTTACCCCTAAGAGAGTCAATGTCCTCCCGTACAGTGAACAAGCACCATGTCTGCTACAGATAGTTGGGAGGCGGGACCAAGAAGCCGAAGCTCAACAACCTACATGTACAACTAGGTTAATACACATGTTGTCCCTGTTATCAATTAGAGATCACATTGACTTTGTAATAGTTGTTCTGGCGGCAGTTTATAACAATTTTCAACTATCCTTGGAATTTTCCTCTCAAAAAACTTTAAACCCCAATATTGGATATAATTCTATCTATATCTTACTAATATTTCTCATTCGTTCTTGTATTGAGGGTGATAATAGGTTTGTTCCCATTACGTCATAAGACGTCCATCCTTCCGACTAAGCGACGCACCAGACGCAGGGACATAGACCAGTGTCCTCGTTGCTGTCGGGTCCTAAGAACCTAACTTGTGCTGAAGAGCAAGTTATAGAGTGGAGAGGACTGGAATAGTCAAGTGGAATGTGGATTACAAAATCATGAGTGTGGAGAAGCGCAGTGGAGCGCGGAACTGATTCTAGTACATAACATCTATTAAAATTATTCTTAGCCCATAGACAAGGCGTGACACCGAGCCGACGGCATGTCAACTCTTCGCCAGTTTCCACTACCGACCGCTTAAGTAGTACACTTGAGGAGGTAGAGAAAGGGAAAGTAAAAATGCTCCATCGTGACTAGGTAACACCGTATGTTAATTTTTATGTTCGTTTAAGTATTGTTAATTACACATGGAGGGTTGTGTGGGGGTCGTCTGTCCTCAGTTTATCGTCAACTTCCTTTTTCGTCGTGGTGTTGGGCGCTCCGAAGTACGCGGTGATCTCCTGCAGCGTCTTGCCCTTCGTTTCCGGTACCACCAGCAGGCAGAAAATTAAGTTTATAGCGCAGAAGCCAGCGAACACCCAGTACACTCCATAGGGCCCTATTGCCGTCTGTTGGGAGATGTGAGCAATGATCAAGACATTATACAAACTGCTCGCTACTCTACTGCCAGCCTTTCATATTTGAGTCGAATGTTAAGAGTCATTATTGGCTTCTAATAAAGGCTACAGTACACACCTGCAAGGGTGCAAAGAGCAGAGTGATGATGAATGACGTGGTCCAGTTGGTCATGGTGGCCAGTCCGCTGGCCGCTTCCCGCACGTTCAGGGAGAACAGTTCACCTGGGAACACACTTCAAACATTAGCCCCCGCAAGGCAAGAGTGAGGGAGAGTGCGTTATCCACAAGTGTCACTTCTTGATCACCAGATACATGTGTTATCAGCCTTGACCATTATCAACACGGTCACTTTATCTCGCCTCTGCTGTCAGGCTTGCACTGCGGGAACCCTTGTGTCACAAGACGTGTTTATGAGATAGTTTTGTACCTGGGGACAATAACACAATTGTTATTGTCAACAGACACACGTGTGAATGTGTTTACTCTTTGTGAATGGAAGTTTGAGCTATTGGACCCCGCTGTTATATATGTCGGTTGTCTGATGTGCTGACTCCCGACTTATTTTTCTCTATCATATCTATTACATATATTTCTCCCTCTCTGTCACACACACACAGACACTGTCACACACACACACACAGACACTGTCACACACACACACACACACACACACACACACACACACACACACACACACACACACACACACACACACACACACACACACACACACACACACACACACACACTCTGTCACACACACACACACACACACACACACACACACACACACACACACACACACACACACACACACACACACACACACACACACACACACACTCTGTCACACACACACACACACACACACACACACACACACACACACACACACACACACACACACACGCACACACACGGCATATAAGCACCGGCTACTACCACCATTAAGCCACAGAGGTGTCCTATCGGCACCTTTCGTATCAACAGTTAGGCCCGGGGTGATGTTGTCATGAACCTACCCATCATGACCCAGGGGATGGGGCCGATGTTACCATGAATCTACCCATCATGACCCAGGGGATGGGGCCGATGTTACCATGAACCTACCCATCATGACCCAGGGGATGGGGCCGATGTTACCATGAACCTACCCATCATGACCCAGGGGATGGGGCCGATGTTACCATGAACCTACCCATCATGACCCAGGGGATGGGGCCGATGTTACCATGAACCTACCCATCATGACCCAGGGGATGGGGCCGATGTTACCATGAACCTACCCATCATGGCCCAGGGGATGGGGCCGATGTTACCATGAACCTACCCATCATGACCCAGGGGATGGGGCCGTAGCCGACGGAGAAGGCGATTATGTAGACAATGAGAGATGTGAGGGGCAGCCAGCCCAGGCTACTCACAGCCTTGGCTTCATCTTGCGCCTTCTCGTAGAAGAACACGTCGAGGGTCACTGCCGGAGGAAAGACCAGTCACTCCAGGGTAGCGGGGGCAGACGGAACACATACATCAACACAGAATATACCAAAAAATTAGGTCTTAAACTCTGATTTTTTTTTACCTGGAATCCCTGGAAGCTTAGCGAGTAATAGAACTCTGAACAATTATTACCCCTGAAAAGGGGGACGACATAGTGACAAATTGGCAAAAGAAACTAAATTCGTACCTGAAGGGTCTATTGTCCTGGACCTAAAATCAAAATTCGTCGCTGAAATGGCAATCTCACTACTAATGTAGTGATATGTAAGGGTGACCAAGGTACTACAAGCTAATGAACAAATCCACCAGGGCCGTGACGATGATTCGAACCTACGTTCGAGAGCATCCCAGACGCTGCCTTAACCGACTGAGCTACGACATGGTATAAGAATTGCAATCAGAAATTTTACTGAATTTACTTGGATCCTGCAGCCTCTCCGAGACACAAACCAGGATTTTACACAATTTCCCCCATGCACTCGAGCTATGTCAATAGGCCGTTCTACTTCTTTGCCCTTACTTCATTACACACAGAAATCACAATACTGTGATGTATCACGCTATCATATCTGGGATGCTCTCGGACGTAGGTTCGAATCCTCGTCACGGCCCTTGTGGATTTGTTCATTTGATACATCACGCTACTGTGATTTCTGTGTGTACTACAAGCTAGTGAAGTTAAGCTATAGTTGAGCTCGTATCTATGGCTCTCATTTGCTGCGAGATAACTTGAACAAAAATCAGATTTTGCTCACCCAGGGAGATGACCATGGCGGAGGCGGAGATGATGAGGAGCAGCTTCCTGCCAGCTCTGTCCATGAGAGCTCCGGCCGCCAGTGTGGCCAACACCTGCATCATCCCCACGATGATCACACTCGCGTCATCTGACAAGCTCGATCCCGCATCCTGAGTCACAGTAGTTTGCATCAAAGACGAACATAAGGCATTTAATCGTGCATCAGTTGGCACTATATTTACACACATTCTACAGGTGTATGTTATACGCCCACTAGTACACATGAGCACAACTCACTCAACAGTAACTAAGCAACGACTTGCTATGTCCACACAACCTGCCCTCAGGCCAGGCTCGTTAAAGTGGCGGCCACTACACCCCCCCCCAAAACATATTCGTAAATTTTAATGAATTATTAAGACAGAGCGCTGCATTCATATATATATATATATATATATATATATATATATATATATATATATATATATATATATATATATATATATATATATATATATAAATAAGTAAACATTATTATATATTGAAGTTCGATGTATAGGTAGGCATAGGTTAGGTTAAGTGTTTAAATTCTGTTGGCAAACATGTGTATTTTCTACCCGTCCTCACACTAGGCTGGTTAAAGCAGCGGCCGTCCTCCCCAGACGCATTTATCAATTTTAACATACTGTGTATTAAAAATTGATTTGTTCTCATATATAAATTATTATTATTATTCAGAAAAATTGTATATGTAGTAGTTAGGTATAGGTTAGGTTAGGTGGTTGCAAACTGTGCAACCACTATACATAGATTTTTTTATGTATAATAATATTAATTTATATATGAGAACAAACCAATTTTTATTAATACACAGTATGTTAAAATTAATGAATGCGCCTGGTGAGAACGGCCACTGCTTTAACCAGCCTAGTGTGAGGACGGCCACTGCTTTAACCGGCCTAGTGTGAGGACGGCCACTGCTTTAACCAGCCTAGTGTAAGGACGGCCACTGCTTTAACCAGCCTAGTGTGAGGACGGCCACTGCTTTAACCAGCCTAGTGTGAGGACGGCCACTGCTTTAACCAGCCTAGTGTGAGGACGGCCACTGCTTTAACCAGCCTAGTGTGAGGACGGCCACTGCTTTAACCGGCCTAGTGTGAGGACGGCCACTGCTTTAACCAGCCTAGTGTGAGGACGGCCACTGCTTTAACTAGCCTAGTGTGAGGACGGGTTGATTACTCTTTCCAGACTTCTTGTCAACTTTCAAAAATACTTTTTCTATGAAGTAAACTAACCTCGAAAATGGTGGCAAGGTTGAAGAGCACAGCGTTGATGCCAGCCAGCTGCTGGAAGACCATGAGGGCCAGGCAAATTAAGAGTGGTTTAAGGATGTATGGTTCCGTGAGATCCTTCATGGATATCTTGTTCCTCTCTGACTCCTCCTGGGCTTCTCTCATCCCTTGTAGTTCTTCATCTACGTTGTAGTGTTTCCCTGTTCCAGCATCACCAATATTTAGACATTTATAACCAAACTAATGAAATCTAATTATGAACCTTAAAAACAACGATTCGCGCCAATTTATATTTTAACATTTGGGTAAAAATACTTAGGGTATGGCTGAACTAGGGTTATCCCTTGTGGCTCTGGTTTCCTGTTGCCTTTACAAAAACCTTTCCTCGATTTCTCAAGTAGGTACATAGACACCATAGAGGAAGGTCACTCAGCAAACTCTTGCTTCCGGTCTTCCTTAATTTTGTTGGGGATCATAAATCAGACAAAGATATTATGCGAAAAGTGAGGAAAGTGTTCACTTACATAAATTGTAAATTTACAAAATGCTTCAAGCCGCTATAGAAAACCAGCGTCGATGAGTCATACAAGAACAAATAGCTTTCAAGCAACATGTTAGGATTAAGCGTCACTAGTTTGGGGCTGAAGCTATTTGTCGTGTGTCGCTGCATGACTGACAGCATTATCCTGACACTACAACACTCACAGATGTTTAAAACTCTTACGCAGCTTTTCTCTGAAGTTTTGTCACGACGTCCTAAGGCCCTATCAATAAATGATTTAGGGTATTGAATCTTGAAGGCAATCTCATATCCCTCATATCCTCCCTTACAGACACGCTCTTGTGCCTAAGCTACTTCAGCGTTGTACACCAAACATGAGAAAGATCCTCTCATGCAATAAGTTGGTTCTTCCATATAAGCAAAGTTTAACCACAAAGAAAAACGCCTTCCATTAAAATAATTTAACGTATATGTTGCATTAAAAGATTTCAGCCCAGTTAAAACAGCCCAACCTGCAAGACAGGACCTATAGCAACTATGACTAGAACGTACAAAATATGGACTGCCATACCCCCAGGTCCCTCCCACCAAAAATTAACTTTTTGTGCATTGTATTTTAAATTGCACACACAAAAAAAATGAAACAGACTAAGTATAAACTTAATCTGTGCTAGGCCTAAAGTGTCACTCCTATAGCCCCAACATGCACAATATTTGGTCTAATTTTGTAAATGTGCTTTATTAGACCCAGGAAAAGTTTCCTTTTGTCCTCTTTCTCGAATCTTCTACCAAATTAATACTTCAAAATCACTTTTTGTCGGGCGCATCTGTCAACATTTTGTACCAACGTCCAGAGGTACTGTCAGTGTTGGGTGACAGGTTACAATTTTTTTTTGCAGGGATATTCCTGCGCGGACCCAAGGCAGAGAAGGAGGTTATTCGGCCCTACAGCGCCCAGATCTCACCCCCACCCCCATAAAAAAATGTGTACAGTTATGGTGGAATAATTATAGTGGGGAGAGCTGGAAATTGTGCTTAGTCCCTCCCCACCCCCACCCCGGGGCCGCTGTCGAAATCCATAACAATTAAAAAACAAAATAATTCATGTATTATTTGAGGCGAAAAATGTTAGACTGTGAAGAATGTTTGCTTACCCCTGAAGTGCTGCAACACTTCCCTGGCCTGTTTCTCCTTTCCTTTAGAGAGAAGGTAAGATGGTGACTCCTTGACGAAGAGGATGAGGACAAAGTACACGACAACAGGAATGGCGCAGACGCCAGCTAGGCCTCGCCACGAGTTCACGATGGCGCCAAAAATATAAGCGAACTCTATACCGACCACAACCATCAACTGGAAGAACGTACCTGAAACAAAGAAAGGTTTCATGCCCCGAAAAAGGTTTGCCCGAAACGCTGTACGTGCTATAGTGGCTTTAGACAAAGTAAATACTTGCTTTATCTAGAAATCCAACATTCTGCCTGTAACTCATTTTGTATGTATGTACTTTTCCCCTAACTAAACTTATCATTATCATCATCATTATACTAAAATTTCCACTTACATAATTATGCATCCACCAAAATGCACTTGAGAAGGAAGCTATTAATATATTCATGAGGATATTTCTGCGACTGTGTACAAAGGAGCTTACTAAGAGTGCCTCTGATGTCCGGCGAGGCGATCTCCCCGATGTAGGTGGGCACCGCGATGCAGGTCACTCCCGCGCACACCCCCACCAGGATGCGTCCGCTCACCAGCATGGCGAAGTTTTGTGCGAACGCTATAAAGTTACAAATTATAAATATATATATATATATATATATATATATATATATATATATATATATATATATATATATATATATATATATATATATATATTATAAAAAAATTAATATTCTATAAAAAAAAAATTATATTCTACGAATTTATGGAGTGTTTATACATAATTTTCCGCAAGTCCGGACTCACCAATCAAGGCCCAGGAGGCGAGGAAGGGCGGCACAGAGGCCAACATGGCTCCCCTCCTCCCGAGCAGGTTGATGCAGAGGCCGCCCACGGGGCCCCCAACCAGGGCTCCAATGTTGACGGTGGAGGAGAACCAGTTGACCTGCTCCTCGTTAATGACCAGGGACGCGTTGGTTGAGTTGTCCTTGAGCATGGGGCTGGCCGGGGAGGCGTAGCCCAGGCCGGCGCCGAAGCTCAGGGCCCCCATGGCCACTGTTGGATACATCTCATAGTCATAACTCTTGCAGCAGTTTAGGTTTTGTTGTGAAAACATGCCCTTTGGCGCCTGCATTACCTAGATGCATTAAACTTTCCTGTTTGTTTACATATTATTTTGTTAAGACTCTCAGATGAAGGTGAGTTGTCGCTCTATTAGCTTAACTAACTTCCCAGCTGCAGCACGCGACCAAAGTATATGTCTATTACTCCTGCTAAACTAACTCAGCCTTAGCTCATGCTAGTGTGAAATAGTCACACTAGTCACATATTTTACTCAGTGTGAATAAAATTCACACTGAGTAAAATATGTCCTACCACACACACATAATTAATCCTATTGGCTGCACTCTCTTTGCTTCCCTCTCTGGAATTATATGCAATCGAGAAGACCTTAAGTACAAATATAACTGAATTCAAATGGATTCATTAAAGAATTGACAAAATCAATCCTTACGATACTTTCTACTCTCTGACAAGATGACGGTCTCTACTTTAACTAACTCACACAAGGGGGCGTCATCCTAAAGAAATATCGAGCTAAGAGAGTATGACAATGAAGTCCATGGTATAGAATATCCAGTGTGGGAGAGCTCAATAGTGGAGAAGCCAGGACGAAGAGGGGGAGGGGTCACACAAGAGGTGGAGGGCAGGGACGAGGGGTCACACTCAGAAGCTAAACATGCCACTGAGCCTGACAAAGATCATTGTCATACAACATGCGGAATGCACTATATGAAAAATAACCCATATACGGATTTAAATGCAAACAATACGTAACCCATGAGAATAATGATGTAACACTGCTCAAAATAATAGTTTAAGAGTCGGTGCCCAGAAGCTGGAGCCCTTTGCCTACATGGACACACAAAAATTCAGTACCTGAAAGCGCCGCGATGTACTGGACAAGGTGCGACGGCTTCTTTTCCTGGACCAAACCGGCCCTTGAGTGTCCTAACTCCTCCATAATCCCTGCTGAGGTCTTCAGAGTGTTCCTCACAGCTGAGGAGACAAACCAAGACTAAATTAATAAACGATTAATTATTTTCCTTTTGTCCCGAGAGGCGAGTTTATTGCGCAGCGCCACTCACCCTGTGACTTGGCACACCGCCATGGAAGCATGTACAACACTCCCTAATAGCAAGAAAACCCGCTGGATGGTTCATCCTATCACTTGTACCCAAACACAGCTGGGACTGTCTTAACTGTCTCAAGTGAACATCTGTCTGACATGATTAATGAAGAGAGAGTGAGTGTGTGTGTGTACTCACCTACTTATACTCACCTATTTGTGCTTGCGGGGGTTGAGCTTTGGCTCTTTGGTCCCGCCTCTCGACTGTCAATCAACAGTTGAGAGGCGGGACCTCTCAATCAACAGTTGAGAGGCGTTGTTGTCAATCAACAGTTGAGAGGCGGTACAGATTCCTGAGCCTACTGGGCTCCATCATATCTACATTTGAAACTGTGTATGGAGTCAGCCTCCATCACATCACTGCCTAATGCATTCCATCCGTTAACTACTCTGACACTGAAAAAGTTCTTTCTAACGTCCCTGTGGCTCATGTGGGTACTCAGTTTCCACCTGTGTCCCCTTGTTCGCGTCCCACCAGTGTTGAATAGTTTATCCTTGTTTACCCGGTCGATTCCCTTGAGGATTTTGTAGGTTGTGATCATGTCTCCCCTTACTCTTCTGTCTTCCAGTGTCGTAAGGTGCATTTCCCGCAGCCTTTCCTCGTAACTCATGCCTCTTATTTCTGTGTGTGTGTGGGGGGGGGGGGGTTGCTGGCGCGTGAGTGGATATACCTGATAGTTCTTCAATGTAGGAATGATCAGTTCTTCGGCCTGCCTTTGCACTTTTCATTACGTAACGCCGCTTATAATTTCCAATGACTGGTATTCTAATACTTACGTTGTGGATTGCAATGGCATTGTGCGACCTATTGATTCAGTTTATTTCACACTCGTGGAGTCTTGACCTTCCTGCGACTCTTGATTCCGGAATCCATCCGTGCCCCGCTTCTTCATGTGAAACAGCCTGTTCTTGTCCACTTTTATCTATATCTCAGCATTTTATACATCTTGATCATTTCTCCTTTGCTTATTTTTACAGGTATAATTCTTTTAGCGTGTTCGCTCACACCAGGTCTCTCAACAACCTGTCCTCCGAGAAAGAACGTAATTTTTCACTCGTTATTGTTGATTTAGGGGCGACGACGGTCGAGGGATCGGATGCGCCCGGTGTACCCGTGTAGGGTTAATCGCAAAGCCCGGAAAGGGTGAATCGCCAAGCCTAATCGCTAAACGAGTGACGCCAATCACTGAAACTAATATGCCTCGCGGCAAAGAAGCCCTGACAGGGCTGGGGGGAGCCCCTAGAGTTACTCAGGGTGACAAGCACCGGCCCCGCCCCCACACAGATGGCGGGGGTCCTCAGCAGAGGTTCCGCCTCCGTTGAGAGGCGGGATCAAAGAGCCAGAGCTCAACCCCCGCAAGCACAACTAGATGAGTACAGAGAACACTGGGTAGCAAACCAAACACTCAGCCCACAGCTTAAACACAAAAGTCATCCAGTGCCTCCTGGCAGAGCAGAAACTAGCCGCCCACCACGACTGAGGGCACACCAGGAGCCCACCAAGACCCATCAACCCCCAGCACCTCTCGGCCAGGCCGGCGCCGGACACCGTCACCCCGCCGGGAGAACCAGCCAGAACACGTTAAAAAAAATCTGTTAACAAACCCGAGGCGATATGTGCTCCAGGCGTTGTACAAACCGGACCGTTGAAGAGGGATGCCAAACGGCAGTATCAAATCCAAAATCGCAAAATAAAACGTGAACCAGCGGCTTCCAGGCGGAGGCGGCGTCCAGACGTCCGCTCGGAGTCAAGGTTGAACCAGGAGTCCCGCTTTTCGCTCGTATGCGTTACATAAGACCAAAAATTGTCGTACTAGAACATGGAAGCGGCTCGCGAAAGTGACGTACTGTCCCGTTTTGGGTCCTCTGGTAGGTTAGGATAAGGGCACTTTAAATTGACCGTTTTCTTAACGTTTAACGTTGGGAAAATTAGGAGGACGGGCTGCCCCCTCAAAGCTACTCATTCCCATTCTACATAATTATTAAGTTTATTTTATGAGACGAAGCTTTCAAAGCTGTATATATGAGGTGGGTTGATAACACCACAGAAGACGTACCCAAGACTGAAGAAAGACTAGCCTGTATGACGCCAGGCAGGCTGCACAGTCCTCAGAGACCTTAATGACCTGAGTGCTGCTGAGCGGCGCAAACTGGAAGATTTTTTTTCTCTCTCTCTCTCTCTCTCTCTCTCTCTCTCTCTCTCTCTCTCTCTCTCTCTCTCTCTCTCTCTCTCTCTCTCTCTCTCTCTCTCTCTCTCTCTCTCTCTCTCTCTCTCTCTCTCTCTCTCTCTCTCTCTCTCTCCCCCCCTCCCTCTCTCTCTCTCTCTCTCTCTCTCTCTCTCTCTCTCTCTCTCTCTCTCTCTCTCTCTCTCGCTCTCGCTCTCGCTCTCGCTCTCGCTCTCTCTTTATCTTTCAGTTACTTGAGCAGCCTTTCACGTTGAGGTGACCACGTTATGCTTTATTTACACAATGTCACATAAAATAATTAAATCAAAATGAAAATAAATCAAAATATAATAAAATTCAACTTATCAATGAAATGGAATCGTAACATATTTAGTATTGGGTGTGTTGCTCTTACGTGCAACAGATGGCGCTGTTTTCCCAAAAAAACATGTTTTTACCTGTCACAGGTGTGGCATCTATATAGTAGGTATATAAAAACACATGCGTATTCGAATGGAACGTTGTGCCAAAATTTCAAAGCAATCGGTAAAGAGGTTTCGAAGAGTATTCACCTCACATACAACGTTGTGTCAAAAAAACACAGTTAAAAAAAAAAAACGTTTTTTTTTTCCTGTCACAGACGAAGCATCTATATAGTATGTATATAAAATCCCGCTCGGATGTGAATGGAACATTGTGTGAAAATTTCAAAGAAATCGGTAGAGAACTTTCGGAGACTAGCGATTTTGAACAAACGAACATTTACATTTTTATTTACATAGATTTATTTATTTTTTTGACAGAGAATACAATATTTTGACCACCTGTCCCCAACCAACACCCATATATTCTCTAGCTTGGTTTTTATTTTATCGTCGCTCATAAAATCAAATTCAATTAGAACTTTTAAATATGTTTTTTTTCTTATTTTAATCCAATGTTATTTGGTGCAAATGATGCAAATTCAGTTCGCTGTCGCGTGTGCGCGTGTACGTGCGTTCGCCTGTGTGCGCGTGTGCATGTGTGTGTGTATGTGTTATCTATTTGTGTGCCCTGACTTTTTTCTCTAGTAGTGGGAAGACTGACTTTCTCTAGCACTGTGACTTTCAGAGACATTTGCTTGTAATTCGCCACCTCTTCTATAAATGTGTACGTGTATGCAATATTAACAATTGTGTAACTTGCTTCACAAGATTGTCACTTGCTTCACAAGATTGTGTCACTTGCTTCACAAGATTGTCACTTGCTTCACAAGATTGTGTCACTTGCTTCATAAGACTGCGTCACTTGCTTAGCTGGACCAACTCTGGGGTTCAGTCCCTGAGCCCATTATGTGCCTGTGTAACCCTTTCCACCGCCGCCCACGGGATGATGTGCATGATAAATAAATTAAATTAATTTTGTAACTCTCCGTCCATAAAATGGTGCATTATGTGTCTGCTGCCCTGCCTCTGGTGTGTTGCACACTCAAGCTTCACTTTATCGCCAGTCTCCCTCAGTAAATACTTGGGCTGGACGGTAGAGCGACGGTCTCGCGTCATGCAGGTCGGCGTTCAATCCCCGACCGTCCACAGGTGGTTGGACACCATTCCTTCCCCCCGTCCCATCCCACATTCTTATCCTGATCCCTTCCCAGTGCTAAATAGTCGTAATGGCTTGCCGCTTTACCCTGATAGTTCGCTTCACTACCACCACACCCATGGTTCATCCTTCACCGCCACCACACCCATGGTCCATCAAGCATCTACCACACCACCTACGAAACCCCTACATCTTTCAACAATTATGGCGGTTTTGTTCTTTATCAAACGTGTTGTGAGCCTCAAAGATCTACGAGGTTGTTTATAACAATGACATAACCCTTGGGTTGTGACACTTAGAAGTTCATAAACTATTTATCCGCCATGACTGAGGAAAGATGCGCAGGTTTTGTAATTGGATACGAATATGCTTGATGAGTGGTGTCAGTGGCGTACCAGTCGGTCCTTATCTGCATACTATTGACGTTACTGGCCGGGCTGTTGCTGGGACACAGCTCTTATCTGTCTGTATGATATTATTGTTAAATGGTGTCGGATTTTTTTAGAAGTTCATAAACTATTTATCCGCCATGACTGAGGAAAGATGCGCAGGTTTTGTAATTGGATACGAATATGCTTGATGAGTGGTGTCAGTGGCGTACCAGTCGGTCCTTATCTGCGGGGCTGTTGCTGGGACACATTTTGGTTTAGAGGTTAAGACGAACATGGTTACGTCTGAGCTACACAATATTATTCTTCATCTCTCAGCTGATGAAGAAGTGTTTGAAAAATCAGCCTCATCTCAAACCTCTAAACCCAGATTACCTTTTTGACCCTAAGTACCTTGTTCTAAGATAAGATAAGGCTAGTAAAACGAGAGCAACAAAACCAATAAGAACCGAGAGAGAGAGAGCTCAAACAAATGAGAATGAACAGGAGGATAAAGGTAAACAAGTCAGTATTACATATGAAGGCAGATCATCCCAATACGTCAACTCCTGATTGCCTCGCTTGAGACAGGTTCATGACACACGTCTGTCAAGCTGTCTTTAATGATAAGGTAAACAGGTATTTTCCTTATTTTGAGAAACTTTACACTCTCAATTGACAGGTAGACCTCAGGATAAATAGCCGCCTTGCCCCTGGGAGTCTACCCTGGTTTACAATCATGCTCAAGCCTCCGTTGTGGAGAGCTACGAGTCAACGCCGTGAGACGCACCGTCAAAATGATGTCCCACAACGTCAACACCCCTCAAACGTGTCTGGGAAGCGTCATCTGCATGATTGCTGTCATCATACGTCTCTGCCAGGATGATTAACTACGCAGTCTCTTGAATTGAGGAGCTCTCAACTTGTCCTGATAATTTCTTATCTAGCCTTAAACGGTTTGACCTTTTCGTTTAAGAGCATACGAAGGGAAATGAATACTGGACATGGACGTATTACGCCAACTACATAGCTCACCAATCCGTCCTCCTAAAAGACCGTCGCATTATGACGTACACGCTACCTAAAGGCCAAAAATTGTCGCACCTGAAAATGGAAGCGGCTGGGGGAATTGACGCACTGTCCCGTTTTCTGTTTTAGGTCCTCTGGTAGGTAAGGATAAGGGGCACTTTAGCACGACAGGTTTTTTGACGTTGGGGAAACATTACGGGGACGAGAGGTTAAGCTCCTCCCTCACTACCGTCTTCGTTAAGCACCTCCTTCACTACCACTCACTGACGGTAGAGCGACGGTCTCGCTTCATGCAGGTAGGCATTCAATCCCCGACCGTCCAAGTGGTTGGGCACCATTCCTTTCCCCCCGTCCCATCCCAATTCCTTATCCTGACCCCTTCCCAGTGCTATATAGTCGAAAAGGCTTGGCGCCTTTTCGACCCTCCCGAAAATAGTCCTCTCCCCCCCTCACTAACATCTTGGGTAAGCCTTCCTTGACGACTAAGTCAACCACAATGACACTTAACACAGGATTAACCACACACGCAGCCGAGTAGTTTACATATATGGGAGCAGGAGCGGGAGGTCACCCACAGGCAGGTAAACAGTCTTGAACTCACACCTGTTCTCCTACACAGCTCAAGTTACCGCCACAGTTGTGAACGCTGTCAGCGGCGGGCAAGTGCCTGTGGCGGGCAAGTGCCTGTGGCGGGCAAGTGCCTGTGGCGGGCAAGGAGGATGCAGGAGCACCTACCGGACTGGACGGGTCAGCGCCGACGGCTCCGGACTACTGGTTGCCGCTCTGCTCTTCGGTATCTCTTGTTCCACCATTGATAACACCACTTGTGTTTCTTCCACCACCCTCTCTCCCCCACACTGCCCCCCCTCCCCGCTCCCTCACACCACCACGACCCATGATAACACCTCTTCCAACCACCTACCAATGATTGCCCCCACTTCACCACATCCCTACCTACCCCCCTCCCTCCCGCCCTTAAAAAAAATCACAACAGATAGCAGCTCCTCAGATCCCACGCCGAGTCCTCCTCATACACAATTCCGCTCACCTTTACTCTATAACCCCCTTTGTTTATAGTCTGGAGGATGGCAGCGCTCCACTGCCTTCTGTTTCTCACAATGCGGTTCCGTAAAACACTTACTGACGTCACTTGCAGGTAGGAGTGGCTGTAAAACACTTAACCACAAAGTTGACTGCTGCAAGCAAGACATCAAGGACCCGTAGACAGTAAGGACAGAGGACACATGGAAGCCCTCCCCCGCCTCAACACTCATGTGCTCCTAAGCTCTGACCAGAAGGCTTCTCAACCTCGAGACCGCGTGACTGACGGCAAGAAACACATTAACAATGAGCAAATATAACATAAGTGCCCCCCCCCCCCCAGGAGTTGAGCTCCAGTATTATGTTCAGTTACTTAGAAGTGTTAAGTTTACCCCTGTTATGTTGCGTTTATTTTCACATTCTAATCATACCTAACCCGCTAAAACACACACCGAAACTACGACGTTGGTACAACGTTCGAACAAGTTTAACACCTCCTAACCAGTTATAACAACCAATATAGCAAGTTGTAATAACGTTCTAATACGTCATAAAAACGTTAAGCCAAGATGTAACAACTTTATTACAAGTTGTAACAAGCGGAAAATAGAGACATTTTCGGTTTGTGTTTCCAGGGAATTCACTTCTATATTTTGTCGAGCATAAATACTTGGTAAATAATGCAGTCCGTTCTCCTAATCTTCCTCAACATCAAGAAAACGGTTATTATATTATTAGAAAACGGTCAATTTAAAGTGTCCTCTCCTAACCTACCAGAGGACCCAAAACAGAAAACGGGATAGTACGTCACTTTTGCGAGCCGCTTCCATTTTCTAGTACGACGATTTTTGACCGTATGTAACGCATACGAGCGAAAAAGAGACGTTCTTTGTCGGAGAACGTGCTTATGTCCTTAATATTTAGTTAAGCAGGATTATATGAACTTTACTTTCACATGTCTAACAGCATGTGTGTGTTAACACTGGAGGTGTGTGTGTTAACACTGCAGGTGTGTGTGTTAACACTGCAGGTGTGTGTGTTAACACTGGAGGTGTGTGTGTTAACACTGCAGGTGTGTATATATATTAACACTTAAGGCTACAGCTAAAGTTACTGTGTATACGCCTAAAGCATATGCACTTTATACACAGAGTATATGTATATGTACGCATACACAGTGTATATGTACATACACAGTGTTATGCGTACGCGACACCCCCCCCTCCCCTGACACAACCACCCCTGTGGGGAAACTGACCTGTCAGATTTATATTTATTTAGTTTATATTAATTTATATAGTAATTTATATTTTACGTTAATGTATTTTTTTCGATAGCAAACTATGATGTTTAAAGTGGTCTGTATGATTTAAAATATCCCACAAATCGCTTCCTTACACATTCTAGAGGGTTTATGGTTTATATATAGTCATCAATATAAATTATTCGTTAGTAGACAGTCAGTATAGTATTAGACTATATTTGTTAGTTACTAAATGGGGGAAGCCTTATCTTGTATGGGAGTGGGCCTGGTCCACCAGTCACGAAGGAGGAGGATCCACACCAAATAATCCTGGGGTGTGAGAGGGGTAGCATGACCACTTGTTACTGGGGGGTGCCAGGTAGATGCTCTCCTTCGTCCTCTTCAATGCCACCTGTCAAAGGGCACTGACAATAATAGCAGTAATCTAATATGACAGCTATATCAGGGGATATATTGGTAATTTAAATAAAGAGATGAGAATATTGTTCATCCTGTTTTAGTCGCCGTCTAGTGACCTTACCGGGTCACCCTAATCTACCTACACACAACTGGCCAGAAACGTATTGGGGGTTTGTAACGGGTCTCGGCTGGAATACCTCCCTTATAGTAGACGTAGTTGGTGTTGATAACGGGAACACTGTTAGTCTCTTTCTAAACTTTTAGTTAGTCTCAATCAACTTGAGAACGGTCGAGGACAGACCGAAACGTCGTCGTCCCTTCACCTTCTAGTGTGTGGTCTGGTCAACATACTTTAGCCACGTTATTGTGACTCATCGCCTGCACTGTTAGTCTCGTAACACTGTTGTCCAAGGGAAAATTATCAGAGTTAGATTTGCCTCAGCGACTGATGTTGAAATTAAAATGGGGCCTCACTGTGGCCCTCTCCCCTCTGACTCCTCCAGCGTCATGCCCAGATGTGTCAAGAAGTGGTTAGAAGGCCAACATTTACTCTATTTTTGTACTGATAATTAAGTTGATTCAAGGGAAATGTTTTTATGATGTTTACAGTCCAAAGGCTGTTGTATTAAGGATAATTCCCATTATTAGGTGGTGAAATTAATAGAGATGTGGCAATGATATTCCCCGTTTTCTACTGGAGGAAATTTCCACTGCGCTCTCGTTTTCTATGTATTAATTTGTATTACAAAACAGCAGCAATATTATCTGCTATTGTATTAAATGTTAGTAAATGGTCTCGGTTTTTCCGACAACCCCCTGACACTATACGGAAAAAGTTTAGAAACGAAGAACATCGCTTCCCACTCCATGTTCTAATAACACGTTCACTACTGTAAGAACAGATATTCTGTTCCCAAGACTGAGTGAAGAGTCTAGCCAACCCCACACAGTGAGGTGTGGAGAGACAGGAAATAGCTTGTCAGTTCCTAACAGCTATTTACACTTCTGTCAAGTGCCACTTGGAAAGAACAAGCGGCCCAATACCCTTCTCAAGGCTGGTGATAAATCTGTGGGGTTAAGTGGTGATACTGCCAGTGTATCAAGGCTGCTTGTTGATGATACAAGTATCCCTGCTATTATTATATAAGTATCCCTACTATTATTATACAAGTATCCCTACTATTATTATACAAGTATCCCTACTATTATTATACAAGTATCCCTACTATTACTAAACAAGTACCCCTACTATTACTAAACAAGTACCCCTACTATTACTAAACAAGTACCCCTACTATTACTAAACAAGTACCCCTACTATTATTATACAAGTATCCCTACTATTATTATACAAGTATCCCTAGTATTTACACAGAAAATACTTCAGAAAACTATTTGAAGCTAACCTAAAAAGTATTCTTAGTATGTATAGCTTCTCGAATTGTTGACACCTTAAGACACACACAGTTACCCGACCCAGCGTCACTCTAGACAATCCCCCTATGATCAAGGGTCACGCTGGAGTCCCAGGGGTCACGCTGGAGTCCCAGGGGTCACGCTGGCGTACCAGGGGCCACGCTGAAGTCCCAAGGGGCACGCTGGAGTTTCAGGGGTCACGCTGAAGTCCTTCCCTCGTTACGGAGTTGTGCAACAGGATAACGAGTCTGAAACTATCGGGTCCATTCCATGTTGACTGTCGTGCCTGTGACCCACCCACTCCTCAGGCTACGCAGGAACGTAAACAAGCTATTTATGGAGAGATTAGAGAGCAAGTTCATGACAATCTCAAGGCAACAGTGATCTCGTCACCAAGTCCCAGTGTTACACAGTTGCAGTGTAATATATATATATATATATATATATATATATATATATATATATATATATATATATATATATATATATATATATATATATATATATATATATATATATATATATATATATATATATATATATATATATATATATATATATATATATATATATATATATATATATATATATATATATATATATATATATTATATATATATATATATATATATATATATATATATATATATATATATATATATATATATATATATATATATATATATATATATATATATATTTATATTTATATATATATATATTATATATATATATATATATATATATATATATATATATATATATATATATATATATATATATATATATATATATATATATATATATATATATATATATATATTTATATATATATATATATATATATATATATATATATATATATATATATATATATATATATATATATATATATATATATATATATATATATATATATATATATATATATATATATATATATATATATATATATATATATATATATATATATATATATATTCTGGTGATAAAATATCAACTTCTGGTGATATTTTCCCTCGAATAATACATCGTATTTTGACGTCAAGATCCCCCAACGGAAACAAATATGATGTACTGTAAATCATAGCGGCTCCCAAGCATTCACGTTCTGTATGCGTGGGTTGCTCGGTTAGGTTAGGTTCAGGTGTTTTAGTACGCCATTTTCTGTCCGTTGTGGCGACTCAATAGGACGGGCTGCCCCATCACATGTGAGCTAAACTCACCTAATAGATTGATTAACAAAATCTACCAGTCAGTCAAAATTTTGTGATCGTTATAATAACTAAAGCATCTTATTCCTGACGTTTTCTCAGTATCGACCACAATAGGGATGAGGTCGAACTTAGGGTTGTAAGTTCGTGGTTAGACAATAGTTTGTTTAGTGTCAAATCGTGAAAATGGGTTGCGAGCAGTTTTAGCCAATGAGAGATCACCTGTGACTGTACGCGTCTGCATTCTCGCGCCTCAATAGGTCATAGAGTCTGTGAGTCAACATTCTCACCTTCATGTCATGTTGTTAGACCGGAGTCACCGTCTGTAGAGATGTGTATGGTGTTGTTGATCTAGGGGCGACGACAATCGTGGGATCGGATGCGCTCCGGCGTACTCGTGTAGGGTTAATCGCAAAGCCCGGAAAGGGTGAAACGCAAAGCCGAATCGCGAAATGAGTGACGCCAATCACTGAAACTAATATGCCTTGCGGCAAAGAAACGCAGATAGGCAAATGATTGGGGAGACCCAGGAGTTCCTCAGGGTGACAAGCACCGGCCCCGCCCCACACAGATGGCGGGGGTCCTCAGCTGAGGTTCCGCCTCCGTTGAGACGCGGGATCAAAGAGCCAGAGCTCAAACCCCGCAATGCAATGGCAATGCAATATATTTTCGAAAAGCATCATACTCTGTAAGTTTAATTCTATCATCATTATCTCAATCATAGCATTTCTTAACTATCCTAAGATTAATTTCACGGCTTTATTTTGTACCTTCTCCAACTTGTTTAGTCTACCGTTACCAAAACAAGAAACGCCAGGTGCAGCATAGTAAATAAAAGATTTACAGTAATATGATAACTATTGAAATGTGATATGTAAAATATGATTAATATGTGTGTACTGTGTGGGCTTGTGAGCCCTTGAGGGGCCTTAAATAGACGAGGGTAGAAACAGCCTAAGATACTTTATCCTTGTCAGATGTATTTCATTATCTCATACTTATATGAACTTGATCAGATTTCAATCGGCGATCGTTCAAGTGGTTGGGCAACATTCCTTCCCTGTATCCTATCCTTAATCCTTACCTTCATATCCCTTCCCAGTCGTAATGCCTTAGCGATTTTCCGGATAATGACCCGACCTTGCCGTACATAATCCGAATCACACTTCAGGTAGGACGCATCTCTCCTGTGCTAGTTGAGTACGACGGGCTCACCATAGCCGGTGCTGCTTGGAACTATTTGTTCCCAGTAGCTAAAATAACAACGACATTCTGGTAGGAAAAACGTCTGTGAGACCATCAGCAGTGTTGCCGAACGGTGAGACATCTCCATAATAGATAACAAATTAAAATTAAAATAGATCACTATCTAAACGATAGGAACAAATGCCAGCAACAGCGCCCAAGGTGGTGTTGTGCAACACTGCTGATGCAACACAGCTCTCCTAACCTTGGGTGAGAATACCGTACTGATATAGAAGCGAAGTTACATACGCGACACAAAGTTGAATAATTATTAAGGGGTGAAATTTAGGCTTCTGGCCAAGTGCTGGCACTGATTACGTTATCAGTGCCATGTTTAAAATTACCATGTTCATAATACCAGAGTCGAACAGTATTAAGGAGAAGTGCCCACTCGTCCCATTATGTTCAAGAACGTTTATTGAGACAATAAGATACAGCTCAAAGGGTTACAGCGGCTTAAGCTATTTCTACCCTCCTCAACTCGTCCGATCCTGTTCAGGAGTCTAACCCCGGGCCGTGTTGCTGGAGAGGAGAGTGTGTGTGTTAACGAAGAAACAACAGCTTAAGAATTATCGTCATTCCTACTGTGGCGTATGTCACCAAGAACTCTTATAGATTACACTACGTTGCAAGTATTAAGTGCAGAGTCAACACTGGCTGGGGGAGGGGGGGGGATAGTGACCCTCCTGGAGCAGTGAGGGAGGTTACGTCACCTCACCAGGAAGGCCATTACTGGCAGATGAGACGGGCTCCCTCACAGTATATGGTGTGGATCAGGTAAGGAGATTAGTGATAAGATAAAGGGTTGCCTCGCTTACCTCACAGAAGATTAGGTAAGGTGAGGGTGGGCGCTCGTGCAGGTGTTTGTGAGGGAGGGTTTTAGTGCAGGTGTTAATTTTTTTTTTAATTTTGCCCCGAGGGGCGAGTTTATTGGGCAGCGTCACTCATCCTGTGAGAGGACACACCGCCATAGCAGCATATACAACACTCCCCAATAGGAAGAAACCCCGCTGGGTTGTTCATCCTGTCACTTGTACCCAGACACAGCTGGGTCTTGCTTAAGACCACCAGAGTACACGCCAACTTGCATTATATTATTGATAATTTCTGACATGTGGTGTATTCTCTGGTAGACACAGTGTTTATACACATTTATTGTTTTATGTCTCCCTTCACCCTACAGTACTGCTCCCGTCACCCGTTGGTACTCCTTCCTTCACTCTGTGTCCCTGTGGTACACCTTCCTCCTTCACCCTGTGGTACCTTTCATCAGCCAAGGACCTTAGATCATTCAACTCTGAGGTAAAAGATATGGGACGACCAAGACAAAAGAGTGTCAAAGATTAACCCCCAAAAGCTTTGCGGAATCTTTGAACACAAGGGGATGACCATAAAGCGACAAAGAAGGACGAAGGGACAACATGCTTTCGAGTAAAAGTCATAGCACAAGTCTTAGTGGCAGAGAACTTGAAGCCATGACTGATGGCCCAAGACGGCACGGCATCAATCGCAAGTTGAAGCCGCCGTTGAAGGAGAGGCGAAAAGGAGAGGGAAGGTAGTGTTTGGTGAAGGAGCGGGAAGATGGCGAAGGAGGACCCAAATTAAACCACAAGAAATTTTTATGATTTTACTTATAATTTTATGTCGCATGATATTTGTCAGAGAACTGTCTTCAGGCACATGCAATTAACGCAGCCGTAATTATAAAATGTTTAACAGTTGACAGCGTTCGGACATAAAATGATTTTTTGAAGAGCAGAGTGAACTGTGAGCTGTTGGCTCTACATCACGCATAACCAGTTATTATTCTTTGTTAAATATATTACATAGTTGTATGCGGGTTTTGTGATGAACTATGGGCTTCACAGGGTCCAGTGGGCAGCGTATTGCTCCCTCCCTCAAGCTGTGGGGCAGGAAGCGCTTCAGGTGTTGAGACCTGCCGGTGTTGAGACCTGCCGGTGTTGAGACCTGCCGGTGTTGAGACCTGAGAGTTTCGGGGTGTTGAGGCAGGCGTGTCTTCACAAGCAGCTCACTCCTGAAGGTGGTGTGGACGCAGACTACAGCTTGGACTGTGGAGGGAAATGTTATATTGAGGCTTAGTGTGGACGAGTACGTCACTGTATATAACATGTGGACAAGTAAGTCATTGTATATAACGTGTGGACGAGTACATCAATGTAGTTGATGACGAATGAAAGCTGCAACACTTACGTTAGCGTGGATGGCCAAGACGCCATCGTCCTCCGCGGTGGTGATCTCGATGTAACCCGTGCCGTCCCCGCCCACCGTCACGGACTTGCCCGTGCATGACCCTCCGCTCTTGGAGCCGGAGATGACGTCGCAGTAGGTGCCGGCGGGCAGACAGGTCTGGGAACGGGAGAACCACAGTCATGATAAGACTCCCTACCCAAGGGTAAGCACTCAATGGTTAAGTAAGGGTAATCTGCACTACCCTACCAGGGAAGCAGGATACTCTACCATGCTGAAGAGACCCTCATCAGGATGATCACAGTGTTATAAGTCAGCCACACTGTCAGCAGCACGATGGTGGAGCTCTTCAGCATCAGCGGCCCTCATGTATTGCATAGAACTCACTAGTAATGAATACGACAATTACAATTGTGATTCCCTAACCTGCAGGGTTTGTTTGAGGTCCCAACTGTCGTTGTTGATGGCGATGAAGCCCTTGTTGCCTCTGCAGAAGGCGATCTGGTTGCTGTCGTTGTCCCACCAGTCGTTCATGTCAGTGCCTGGGGGAAGGGAGGAATAGATGTACAGTTTCATTAGTGCTTTGCACATGGAAGAGTGCGCAGTGTCGTTATCTATTGCCTAGAGGGAGGGAAGCGGGGAGTCAGAGATGTGTCAGCATAATGGGAAGGGGGGAGTTAACTGAGTGCCTGGACGTAAAGGGTGAGATACGTAAACACAGGAGAACGGGGAGCACACAGTAACACAGAGAACGGGGAGCACACAGTAACACAGAGAACGGGGAGCACACAGTAACACAGAGAACGGGGAGCACACAGTAACACAGAGAACGGGAGCACACAGTAACACAGAGAACGGGGAGCACACAGTAACACAGAGAACGGGAGCACACAGTAACACAGAGAACGGGGAGCACACAGTAACACAGAGAACGGGGAGCACACAGTAACACAGGAGAACGGGAAGCACACAGTAACACAGGGGAACGGGGAGCACACAGTAACACAGGGGAACGGGGAGCACACAGTAACACAGGGGAACGGGGAGCACACAAGGACACAAGCACCGTAGCAAGAAGACCAAAGCGTACCGTGAGCAACATTGCGGAACTCGACCATGTTATAGATCTGCCTCCAGCGGTGCTCGCAGATCCAGCCGTTGCCGCAGGTGTCGTCGGCATTGATGGTGGGGCCGACGGTGTTGTAGTTGCCGTCGTGCGGGGGACCCACCCAGTCGTTCTGGTCTTGGCCATTAACAAAGTTTTGGTCCCAGTAATAAGACGACATGACGCGGGTGAGGCCATAAGGCAGGGCAAGCATGAAGGCAGTGGCCATCTGGTGCGGTCAACAGAACACTGTTATTCGTCAAGCTTCTCTCAGTCTCAGCCTCATTATGTGTCTCTGTACTCATCATGTGTCTCTGTACTCATCATGTGTCTCTGTACTCATTATGTGTCTCTGTACTCATCATGTGTCTCTGTACTCATTATGTGTCTCTATAACCTGACAACTACTGATCATATGACGGACTTTCGATCCATAATTGACAACTGTTTAATCAACGCCGAATTTTAATTCCATCATCATACCTCATCCAATTTTCCCTTGCCCTATTACGCAAAAGGCTTTCTAAATAAAGTCACCAGGAGAATTGTTGGTCACTATACTTGCCTTGTAGAGCTTAGAGACGCGGAAGGTGAGGATCATGTCTCCCCCGGCCCCGTGGCCTCTCTGGTTGTCGTGGTTGTCGATGAAGACGAGAGAGTAGGCGCGGTCCAGCATGCCCCAGCCCTCGCCGAAGTTGACCAGGTACTTTAGCTGGTTGTTCCCGCGGAAAGCCTCGCCCAGGAACTTGCCATACTTAAATTCTGTGACGCGGCCGTTACCCGTGTACTCTCCGCTCGTAACAGCTTCGCCTCCTGTAACACGTAATGGTACTGGTCGTTAGTAATGAAGTTCTTAATGAAATGTTTCATTTGCAAACCAATGAGGATTATTTACTAAAATTAATTAACATGACATCGCAGAGCTCAATGGATAAAAATGATATTAATTTATGCAGGATTACACACTTCATAATAATAATTTGCACTCATTAATAAACTCTCACACCAACTCTTTGATAATGGTAGATCATAATGACCTAAATGAAGGTTTGAGAGTCGCAAACAGAATAATTGACTTCTGAAAAGATTGATGGTGCATGGAGGTGTGTCCTGTTAGAGGCTAGAGTGTAGATGTTATAAAATATTGTTGTGCAAAAGGTTCTTATGTCAACCTGTCCTCTCACTTAATGCGTCGCAATTTTAATAATATCGACTATATTCACTGCAACGTCAAATTTCCGACGTTTGAATTTGACGTGAGAACGGCATCCTTATTTGTGGAAGTTGCTGATTTGCCTGAAGTGTTAAAGAAGGTAAGGTTCTAATTAAGATTAGATTCTGTTGGGATAAGGTGCTGACGAAGGTAAGGTTTTGACTGGGAAAGGTCCTGAATTAAGAAGAGGGTTCCTCCTCTGCTTAAACTCTTAACGAACGCGTTTCGTGTCATGGGATGGGTTGTCTACGGGACACGGACCTCCAGCTTGAATCAATAAGTTTCTTTATTCTTCGAAGAGCGCGTCATGTTGTCCCATATTTCTATTCCAGAACGTCTAGCTATGTAAGATATCGCAACCTAGGGAGTGTCCCAGTATCTTCGGTCAATGTAACGCTGCATATCTTAGAGCAATGAAGGAAGTGTATAAATAAAATATGATTTTAAAGTATAAACGAGTTGATGAAGGCTTGTAGAGAATGGTTTGATGTGTAAGTTTATTGATGTGCTGAAGGCAGAAAGAATCATATATATTCAAGCTCATATCACTGGTAATATTTTGCTTATATAAAGTTCTAATGTGTAAATGATGAAAGATTGTGAAAGATCACGAGAGAGAGATGTTGACACGTGGAATGCACAAAGATGTCAGGCAAGTTATTGCACGTTGAACTCTGTTGAGACAAGCCTGGAGGAGTGCAGAGTTCACCCTCAAGCAAGCCTGGAGGAGTGCATAGTTCACCCTCAAGCAAGCCAGGAGTGCGGAAGCTATAGTGGTCCTATGGTGTTAGAAGTGCTCTGGTCTTACCGAGATCGATGACCTCCTGGTAAATGAAGGCTCGTTGACCAGCGCCGAAGTAGTCCGCATTGAGGTCGTTGAGGCTGTCGTAGATCGCCTGTGGGACACGAAGACTCAAATTCGTCATTGAACAACGACTTCGCAAGTCACACAAATATCCACAGTGAAGGCCAACTGTAGCGGTGATGCGTGATAATACAGATGTCGAAAGATTTAAGTTATTTTGTAAATGATCATCATAGCTGCTTCGCATAGAATGTCTTTTTTCAAGTAAATAATTCAATAAAACAGCAACCGATAAACTGAGATTGAATACGTCTTTTGAAATTTGTATTTTCATTGGTGCTAAAGGTACTTCTGAAAATAATAAAAAATGTCAGCTGAATTGTAAAGTCTTTGACACAGCTTTCGAATTCAAATTTGGAGTGTCGTGAAGATCTGAATAAGAGCCTAGATTATATATTTATTTACTTGTCGGTTGATGCTGCAGTAACCTTGAAGCACCTCTCTTGATGCTTCAGGGTTACTAGCCTGCTCAAGATCTGCTTCTTCCAAGCTCTTCATTATGTACATTTGTCAGCCCCTCTTAATATTGGTTTTCTTAAAGTAGAGCAAGTCATAATGAAGGAACTATATATACATGTTTCTTAGACTAGCAGAGCAATGTATATGTTCTCAGTCTAATAGAGCTATTTATTTATTGTCTTAGTCTAGCAGAACTATGCATAGAATCCTAGCAGGCGATAATTAAATGTTGAACATTAAACAACAATACAATACAATACAATTTTACAATACAATACAATACAACAATACAATTTTATTTAGGTAAGGTACATACATACAATAAATATTTACAAGGATTGTTTGACTTATAGGTAGAGCTAGTACATACAATGCCTAAAGCCACTATTACGCAAAGCGTTTCGGGCATAAAGCCTAGCAACATACTGTTTGCATGGAGGCATGGAAGGGAGCCCAGCGCCGCCCCTACCTTCAGATCTCCCGGCCACATGTGCTTGCTGGCGTCGACGCGGAAGCCGGCCACGCCGTAGCTGATGAGGGTGTTGAGGTAGTTCTTGATCATCCCCCGAACGTAATCGGAGCCCTGGTTGAGGTCGTTCATCCCCTCCAGTTTACAGTTGCGTACCTGCCACACACCAGCATTGTTATTGTTATCATAGCTCACCACCTCTATAACACAAATTATCCTTCATTCATATTCAGACAGGATCATGCCACACTGGTTAACAAATTAACACTGATTAAAAAAAACGCTGATGATTCCTAGATATATGCCTTAACCAATTGGGCCATGATGGTACAAAAGTCGACCAACCCGGAACTCTACTGAATTCACGGGAAGGTTCTGGAGTCCCGAACAGGAGCCCTACCAGGGTTTTACACTCGACCTGACCACACTGTGGCCTACGGTAATGGCGTTCACACTCTTACGCCCCAGTCTTATGCCATGAAATAACAATGGCGTGATATATCAATAAAATAATTTTGAGGCAACAGAGTGACTGTATATATAAATAACAGGTGAAGCATATTTACTGTACCTGGTTTGCATCTCCATAGCTTTCAATGCCGCCGGAGGCAGAGTGACAGTTGGCATCGTTGAAATCAAAGGCAGAATACGGGACCCCGGGGTAGGACTGGGCGCCGTAGTCAAAGGAGGTGCCCCCGGTGGTGGGTGTCCCGTCGGGCCACCACCCCGTCATTTGGTTGAAGACGCAGTCCACATAAATCCTATCGGACAGAAAGAAGCGTATTACTTAGGAACAAAAGGCAGTAAGAGGTCAATTGTTCCACAACGAAATCCCACTAACGTTATTTATTTATTTATTTATATACAAGAAGGTACATTGGGTTTGTGAGAATACATAGCATAGTATTTACAATCTTGTAAAGCCACTAGTACGCGCAGCGTTTCGGGCAGGTCCTTAATCTAACAGATAATTTTAAGTAGGTAAATTCTAGCGGAATTAATAAAATGATAACAGATACATTGCAAGAAAGAAAAAAAATAAGATGAGAGAGATTAGTTGGTATATTAAAGCACATTGGTATATTAAAGCTCTGACTGATTGCATTGACAGCTTGATTGGTAATTTAAACTAAGAATAATAGGCACCATACAGCAAATTGATAGCACATATAAGAAAACAGCAATGATCACAATGGTAAAGTTGTTTGGATTGGGTACATGAAGATTGGTAGATTGGGTAGCAATAGATACAGTGCAATTTCAAAGCAACAAGGTAGAAAACTATGAAGATGAAATTAGGTACTTTTTAGTTTTGTTTTTGAATGACGCAAAAGTTGGACAGCTTTTCAATTCATTAGGGAGTGAGTTCCATAGACTAGGTCCCTTTATTTGCATAGAGTGTTTGCACAGAATAAGTTTGACTGGGGATATCAAAAAGATATTTATTTCTGGTGTGGTGATAAGGGGTCCTATTACATCTGTCCAAGGAGTTTCAGAGCAGGATTTGCATTTAAGAACAGGGTTTTGTAAATGCAGTTGACACAAGAGAATGTGTGGAGTGAGATTATGTTTAGCATGTTTAGGGAGTTAAACAAGGGGGCTGAGTGTTGTCTGAAAGCAGAATTTGTTATTATTCTGATAGCAGATTTTTGCTGGGTGATGATGGACCTGAGGTGGTTTGCAGTGGTTGAACCCCATGCACAGATAACATAATTAAGATAGGGATAGATTAGTGCATAATATAGTGAGATGAGAGCAGAGTTAGGTACATAGTATCTGATTTTGGAGAGTATACCAACTGATTTAAAGACTTTCTTAGTTATGTGTTGTATGTGGGTGCTGAAGTTGACTCTCTTGTCTAGGAATAGGCCAAGAAACTTTCCATCATTTTTACTACTAATGTTAACATTGTCTATCTGAAGCTGAATTTCATTTGTTGATTTGCTTCCAAATAAGATGTAGTAGGTCTTTTCTGTGTTAAGTGTTTGTTTCTTGGTTGACATTAATAAGTGGATTTTTTTTAGTTCATTATTAACAACATTATTTAGTGTATGTAGGTTGGGGTTAGAGTAGATGAGGGTAAGTATCATTAGCAAACAATATAGATTTCAGAATGTTGGTGACATTAGGCAGATCATTGATGTATGTAAGAAATAGGAGAGGTCCCAAGATGCTGTCCTGTGGCACTCCAACAGTTATTGGTAGAATGGGAGAGATTATATCATTGATGGCTACACATTGGTGTCTATCACTAAGATAGGATCAGATATAGTCCAGGGCAAGGCCTCGAATTCCATAATGATGGAGTTTACGTAAGAGGTAGTTGTGATTAACAGTATCAAAGACCTTTCTCAGGTCAATGAAGAGTCCAATCGGAAACTCATTTTTGTCAAGGGCTGAGTAAATTATATCAAGGAGACTAATAATTGCGTCGTGATATAAATAGGTTTCTCTCACACACACGTGATATAAATAGGTCTCTCTCACACACACACACATACCCAGAATCTAAACAATATCAGCTGTCTAACTCTAACCGAAAGTAACCTAACTTATTTTAACCTAACGTAACCTGATATAACTGTCAGTAATTCATGCTCTAAATATAATACAATAATATTAATACAAACAAATCAATTTGAAAATAACGAAAATCACTTTGTCTGTTAGGCATATTGGGCCTTGCATACTAGGCTAAGTAGTGCGTTCTGACTATTCAAGGTTCCTTCCCTATGAACTCTTGTAGTGTAATAGGGGGTTCCTTCCCCTCAGAGCTTCACATCAAGGTTGTGATGCCCAGCAATATGAGAAGGAGCATATCGTGTGGACAAGACGTACCTGACCCCGACGTTGTTGCAGCGGTTGACCATGTCCTTGAAGGCGCTCTCGTCGCCCGAGCGAGTAATGATCTTGTATGAGACCGGCTGATACCGCTCCCACCAGGGGCGGCTCTTTTCATTCTGGTACACGACAATGTTCTCCGACACCGGCGACACCTGAGCCACCACAGGGGGGTAACGTTCAATAGTTAGAGTCGAGTTAAATACTCTGTGAGGAGAGTCACTGCTCACTTGTCACGCACTCACTGCCCACTCAGTACACTAACTGCCCACTCAGTACACTCACTGCCCACTCAGTACACTCACTGCCCACTCAGTACACTCACTGCCCACTCAGTACACTCACTGCCCACTCAGTACACTCACTGCCCACTCAGCACACCCACTACTCAGTACACCCACTGCCCACTCAGTACACCCACTGCCCGCTCAGTACACTCACTGCCCACTCAGTACACCCACTACTCAGTACACCCACTGCCCACTCAGTACACCCACTGCCCGCTCAGTACACTCACTGCCCACTCAGTACACCCACTACTCAGTACACCCACTGCCCACTCATTACACCCACTGCCCGCTCAGTACACTCACTGCCCACTCAGTACACCCACTGCTCAGTACATCCACTGCCCTCTCAGTACACTCACTGCCCACTCAGTACACTCACCGCCCACTCAGTACACCCACTCATCCCGCCCACTGCCCACCAACATCACCTGGACGCCGCCGAAGCCTTTGGGACCGAGGAACCTCTCACACTCAGCAGCGATGTCCGCCCATCGCCACTCGAACAGATGAACGATGGCCTGAGACGCAGAAACCATCACTGAACACTTCGTTAAATCTTGCACACATTAATTTATAAATACTGTAGTTGATTTGATGATAAGGAAATTATAACTTTACAAGAATATGCAGAGCACATCATTTTATATTTAAATTTGTTTATAATAATTATTAAGGGTTGAAATATATTATACTTAATAATAATAATAAGAAGGAGACTGATGTGTAAATTAGATCAGATCTATTGCCAAGCTGTTAATAATATTATTAATAAAACAAATTACCATTACTATGATAAATTATTATGTGTGTATAGTAGCTATATAATGTAATAAATTCATCACATATTATGAACTAATAAAATAGATAAGAAAATCAAAATACATATACTGAATCTGAATCAAATGAAAAACTGGAACAAATGCAGGATAAATAAGGATCAGATACAGCGGAAAAGTGCATCAGAGATCGCCAGCATTTTCAGTAGGATCCAGGGATGAGGTAAACACTGCCTGAGTCCTTAAAGGAAACACAGAAACTTTAAGTAAAGGATGAAAAAGGAACATTCAAGCCGCCTTTAGTAACATTAACCATAGATTATTATAAACAAAACAAAATTATATCGTGTTGTTAAAATGTAGAACGTGTCCTGGCGAATAAAACCTCGCATTTTGACATCAAAATCCCCAACGGTCATAATATCCTGAACTATAAATCATAGCGGCTCACAAACATTCACACAGACAATGCGTGGGTCGGCAGATTAGGTTAGGTTCAGGTGTTTTAGTACGGTATTTTGTGACCGCTGTGACAACTCTCTGGGGGGGGGGGGGGACAAGGCCAAAATGTAATTGAAAAAGATGAGGCAGCCCATACTCCACAGCGTACCCAGCGTCACTATACTCTTGTACTAAATTGCCCTGTCCTACCCTACCCGAGGACCCACGAACACAAAGCGGAACATCTCGTCTATAAGTACGTCACTTTTTGGCCCTAGGGAAATTATACGTTAAAAATGCGACGTAGTTTTCAGGAGAACGGGTTGAAGAAAGAGGGCAGCATGACATAGAAAACTCTACTTATGCCCCCCCCCCCCCAACCACCTCCTGCCTAGTATGGTTAACTACGCTATATTATATCTAGAATTTCTCATTTACTTGACCCATCCTCCGAATAGACAATACGTTTTAATACTAAATGTAATAAGTACATGCCTGACTGTTTGCAGAGTACATAAATACACTTCTTTGTGCCCTTACATTTACCTCCCCATATAGTCTCCTCATTTTCTTTTAATACACTCAAAATTTTAGGTGGAAGTTTTCGTGTTCATTTCTGTTCCGTTCCAAGGACCCTAGAGCAGACAAGCAGGGGATTGAAGACAGGGGCGAGGATGCAGAAATCTTGAGCTAGGAACTGGAGACAAGTCGACAAGTCGTTAGTCACACAGTGCTAGGAAGGACGGTACAGTCACACAGTGCTAGGGAGGACGGTACAATTACACAGTGATAGGAAGGACGGTACAATTACACAGTGCTAGGAAGGACGGTACAGTCACACAGTGCTAGGGAGGACGGTACAATTACACAGTGCTAGGGAGGACGGTACAGTCACAATGTGCTAGGGAGGACGGTACAATTACACAGTGCTAGGGAGGACGGTACAGTCACACTGTACTAGGGAGGACGGTACAGTCACACTGTGCTAGGGAGGACGGTACAGAGGTTGACAGCGCAGTAGACAGAAGGTTAACTGTGTTTCTGTAAACTTCGCCTGACAGCTATAAGCAGACAACGGGAGATAACAGACATTAAGCTCAAGTGATACACTGGTGTTGAGCTTAATGTACTAGTGGAGAGAGACTGACCTGGCCGTTGGAGAAGTGGGGGTCCCACTGTGCCTGCGCCAAGCCCACCACCGCCGCCACCAACACCGTCTCCAACAACACTCCCATACCTGCAGTACACACATCCCTACTAAGTACTGTAATCTTCATTTACACAGTGGAGAATGATGTATTGTGTATCTAACTTGTAAAGAAAAAAGTGATGTGCCGGAGCTTGAATTATTAAATGTCACTTTAATTCACTGAACCAATTGCATAGTTATTCTATTTATGCTCATATTTATCATATAAATTATGATAAGTGGTTAAGTGTCGTTTATGGAAACCCGTCTTCGATAACGATCGTAATGATACAATCGGTATAGTTGGCAGCAGGTGCAGTGAATACCGGGGAATGTAACAGATTGTGAAGATGGCTTGACCTAATTCATGTTAGTAGTTTACATATCTACTAAGTGCAGTTGTCCTGACAGTGAGCGATGCCTTATATTTTGAGTGGGGAGTCCTTATAAACAACTGGGCCTCTACCCTTCAGACCGAACTATTTGCCTTGCTTCTTGCACTGAAATGTGTACAAGTCGCCAAACTTGATACATTAATTGTAAGTGACTATCATCCTTAATTGCTCTCAACTCTTTAAGACATTACTGTAACATGCTCGTTTCTGGAGCTAGACACAAATACAACAAAATTATTAATGATGGTAACAGAGTCCATTTCATGTGGACTCCATCTCATGTTGGCTTCCGAATGCGTGATAGAGCTAATGAGTTAGCCAAAGAATCTGCCTTAAAAGGAGAAATTGAGTGTAACCTTGGATTGTCAATAACCAGTCTGAGACCAATAGTACACCAAGAACCTCAACAAAATTTTGTAGATCTGAGGCAAAGTGAAATCGACACCATTAATTCCATCTATCACCATACTATCATGCAAGAGGAGCCACACATCTATGGATCATCCAGTAAAATCAGCAGACTTCTAGATGTTACTGTTGCCCGGCTTAGACTCGGTTACAAGTATCTCTGGGAATTCTCATTATCTGCTGATGTAGACCTGACCAAATGTAAACTGTGTCAACAAAATGATTCGCACACCCTCCGTCACTATGATGGAGTGCGAAAAGATATGTGAATTCAGAGACAATTTAATAATCAATGATTCAAAAATGTGTAAATATTTAATTCAAAATTATCTGCTACCAGAAATCTAAGCCAAATGTCTCCAGTTTGCTAACTGTAGGTAGTAACTAAGTGATTGTAACCTATCCACCGCTGCCCACTGGATGGGGGGCGGTGTGCAGGACAAACATATCAATTGTGACACTAGCTCTCCACATATGTCAGTTGCTTAATTTAGAAACTGTACTTGTGGTCGATCTCGAACCCATTGATGATGTGACGATGTGCATTGAATTTTGTAACTAGCTCTCAAGATTGTAACTTGCTTAGCTAAATGAATTGTTGCGTTCAGTCCCTGAACAGGGAGGCAGTCCCTGCCTCTGTAACCCTTTCCACTACTGCCCACAAGATGGGAATGGGGTGCATAATAAATGAACTCAACTAAACTACTAAGTGTGACCATCGGCACTATCTCTCTCTGAAGAGAGATACAATCGACTTAATAATGGTCCAGGACGGAGCGAAACGTCGTGGAGGATGAAATTAACATTCCACGTTATTAGGGACGACTTCAAAGAAGACTTATTGAAGACGTGTGTGTAGATATCACCATAAAAGGTTTAACAAGTGTAAATGGAGTCAAATTAATTTAAGAAAGGGAAGAATAATACAAATCACTATTAGTTTTATGCCCTGACAAATTACCGTAAGTCAAGCTAATATGTTAAGCATCACAATACGACAAGAACTATGGCATCATACCAACAAGCGTCAGCTACACGACGTACCTGGACTACCGGTCAGTCAGTGAGGACTGCAGTGTGCTGCTTCCTGTCTTCTTATTTATAGCTTTCAGATGTGGGCTGGGCTTGCAGCTTGTGGGCAGGGGCGTGTATTTGAAAAGGAGGGCGGGGGAATATTAGGTAATGGGGTGGGGCGGGTAGATAAAGGGGGGTTGATGTGCGGGTCGTGGCGTCTAGGTGCGGGTATAGTTGGCATCACTGACTTGACGTTGTTGGGACAGGTGATGAGTTTCCCTGGTCAATCAAGGGCGAGTGGCAACACTGTGAGAATCTCACTCATTACAAAACGTCTGATTCTCAAGGAATTGTTTCACAAGACCTCACGATCATGCTTGTATTGCCATATTAGTTTGCTATATTATCTGCTAAATTAGTCTTCCGTTGCTATATTATTATATTAGTTACAATGCAATTATTAGTCTGCTTGATATCATTTACACAGCCCTTGACAAAAATGAGTTCCCAATTGGACTCTTCATTGACTTGATAAAGGTCTTTGATACTATTAACCATAACTACCTCTTACTTAAACTCCACCATTATGAAATTCGAGGCCTTTCCCTGAACTATATTTGATCCTATCTTAGTGACAGACACCAATATGTAGCCATCAATGATATAACCTCTCCCATTCTACCATTAACCGTAGGAGTGCCACAGGGCAGCATCCTAGGACCTCTCTTATATCTTATATACATCAATGATTTCCCTAATGTCTCTAAAATTCTTAAACCTATACTATTTGCTGACGAAACTACCTTCATTTATTCAGACCCCAACCCACACACACTAAATAATGTTGTAAATAACGAATTACAAAAAGTCGACTCATGGATGGCAACCAACAAATTCACACTAAACATAGAAAAGACCTTCATATTTTATTTGGAAGCAAATCATCAAATGAAATTCAGATTCAGATAGACAATGTTAACATCAGCAATAAAAATGATGGAAAGTTCCTTGGCCTATGCATAGACAAGAGACTCATGCATAGACAAGGTGTTGCCTGTTCTAGTAGTACTCCTCTTCGGAATCGACCTCTATATTCTCCACCTCGCAAGTCGTGTCGCTGCAAATCGGACTGCACTGATTGCTCGTGGTCATCCCCGGCATTGTTGGAATCTGTGCATAACTGTGGTCCATCGCTTTGCTGCTTGTATTGCTGCATGTCGGACTGCATTGATTGCTCGTAGCCGTTTCTTGTGTTATTGGATCCTATGCATCTCTGCTGTTCAATACGTTTTTGTTGGTGTTGTGTTGCATATCAGACTGTATTGGCTGTTGTTGTCTGTCTCTTGTGTTGTAAGATTCTGTTGATCTTGGGTGGTCACTGTTTCTTGCAGTTGACTATCTTGACACCAACAGTTGGTGTCTTGACTATCCGACTGTTGTTGGTAGTCTGTATGTCCATGTTGCGTTGTTTGTCCTCTTGTGCTCCGTCTTGTCTCGAAGTGTCTATTTCTAGTGTAACTGTGGTCTGTTGCACGATCTTGTCCATTATTACACAAGTGACTTCTTGAGTCTGTTGCTGTGAGGCGTTCTGCGTCATCTGTAGGCAATTAATAATGGTCTCTGCTATGATCTTCACTATGTTTTTCAGCTGGACCTCGGTGGTAAAACTGTATATTTGTTGTGTTGATTCCGAAAGTAATTGTTTTTTGCTCTTTTGCATTTGCTGTATTTCTGCAGCACTTTTGTGTATTTTCTGATTTGGAATTAATAGATTCGGGAAATTTTGCTCTGTGGAGAGTGTGTGTCTGTTGTGGCTGTGCACGAGTGTTCCAGACGTTGGTGTTGGTGTATGTAGTGCTGATCTGTGTGTTTATCCTGGCCTGAGCTGTCTGCACTTTTTCTTTCCGTGCAGAGCAGGTTGTGCTCCAGGCATGATGTTTGCCTCCACAATTTGGACATTTGGCTGTTGTGGTCTGGTTTGCCTTGTGCTTGTCTGTACAGTCTTTGGTTGGATGTCTCAGGCTGCGCACTCCGCATCTCTCCTCGGTGCAGCGTGATTGATGGTGGCCGTATTTCTGACACCTGAAGCAGCGCAGGGGTTCCGGGACGTATGGTCTCTGTTGGTATGTTCTCCAATTTCCAAGATTGAATGTTTCTGGCACATGTCCCATGACGGTCACTAGAACTTGACGTGTCGCTGCTTTGTCTACTTTTTGTGCGGCATCGTTCCGCACTTAGGATTTGCTTGTGCTCTAGTACTGGATCCAGGGAAAAGTCGATTGGATATCCCAAAAGCATGACTCGTGTGCGCCTTTCTGAAGGGTCCAGCTTTTCCTCCCCCGGCCAGGATACGAACCCAGGACAAAGTGCTCGCGTAACGCCAGGCGAGCGTCTTACCACTATGACACGGAGACTGCCACAGATATATATGACATCTATATCAGAAGAAATATTTACATATTATTTATAAAATAAGGACCAAGGAATAATTACCTGGATTGAGTCGTTGCCTCTCGTGCTAACCAGTTCGCCCTATATCCACCTAACATAACTGGCCAGAAACGTGGTAATAAACGGGTTTCAGTAAGATTCTTCACATATTTAGATGTTGACTGTGTTGATGGAGGAAGCACTAACTTGATCTCCATAACACTTCGTCCAAGGGAGAATTAAAGGAGCTGAACTCGCTCCAGCGATTCTGGTCATAAACAATGGCTGACCCCTCTCCACTGACCCCTGGCTTTCTTGTCCAGATGCCAACAAGTGGTAGACAAGTCACGTTTACTCTATTTTGGTACTGATAATTAAGTTAATTCAATAGAGATGTTTTTATGCTGTTAAAAATCAAAAGACTGATGTATTAAGAATAATTCCCAACAGAATAGTTGGTGAATTTATAGCACTATGTGGCAATGATATCTCGTTTTCTATTGACAGAAATTTTCACTGTGCTGCTTCTTCTATGGGTTAACTTGTGTATACAACTCAGCAGCAATATTATCTGCTTATTGTATTTAATATTAGTAAATGGTGTCGGGTTTTCCGACACTACGTTCTAGAATGTTTCCTTCTCTCTGTTTAAAAATACATAACACACACTCACGATGACATTTACAGGAGGTGATGTGTGTTATCTCCAAGGACATGCGGGTGATGTAAGGCGTTACTGCTCTAGATGTGTCTGTATCAGCGCGGGAAGAGCCAGGTGGCGTGTGGGGCGTGGTGGGCTTACCACCTCCAACAGTCTGTTCGACGCACTCCGTCATCCCAGCATCCATCGTTACGCCCACACTAATTCAAGCAAAATATATTTTCAAGACGATATCATTCACTCGCTTATTCTCCCAAGATTAATACGGTTTTTGGAGTGAATGGCAGTTGGCAGAGACAACATACAGTAAGCCTTCGTTCTACACGACACCTAAACGCCAATGGAATCTGAGTTGTAATGGAATATTTATCAATCCTAAGATTTCAAGAGGACACGAACCAGACGAGCACCAGTGCCTGCGAGCCACCGAAGTACAAAACTACAACCAAGGCTATTATCTAGTGTTCTTGCTGATTGATATTGTCATTCACCAAGATGTTCTGCGCCCACGGGAAGCATTGCTGGACGGCGCGGGGGTCAGAGCCGCCTGTGTGTCATACCTTTTGACTTGCGCTCGTTCCAGTCCTGCCAGCACCATGTTACCCAGCCACGTCTACCGTGAGAGGTTAGCATAGCACTAGCACACACACAGGAGCGAGCGAGACACCTACCAAAACACGCAGCGAGGCAGAGAACCTATACTAAGCAACTAGACACCTACTAGCACACACACACAGGAGCGAGCGAGACACCTACTAGCACACACAAGAGCGAGCTAGACACCTTCTACTAGCACACACACAGGAGCAAGCGAGACACCTACTAGCACACACACAGGAGTGAGCGAGACACCTACTAGCACACACACAGGAGTGAGCGAGACACCTACTAGCACACACACAGGAGCGAGCGAGACACCTCGCACTAACACACAGGATGCTTGACAGTGCTCCAGTAGAGACGGTGACAACGCCTGACTGGGTAATTTCCACGAGCCAGATGCTTCAGAAGGGAAACGGGAAACGCGTCAGTTATAAATAATATAATGCTTTACAACATTGAAATTAAAATTAGTGTCATGTAGGTTCTCTGTTTTCTTGCTCTGTGATGAGCGTAATGCTGTCGTAGATGTCATCCCTTGCCATAGAGTGTCATTATACCTGTGCCACAAGATGCAGTGGCTTTTTACCTGAATTTACCTCTGGGCCACTAATACTAGGGGCCTCGATGAGGGCAGGAAGCCAGCGGCTTGCCAAAGGTCCCACTATATGCCCTAATGATCTTTTCTAGCTGTATTTTAAACCCAGCAGAGGTTTGGCGTTTACTGCTTCGACGGGTAAGCGGTTCCACTGGTTTACAACCCTATGGATGAAAAAGCATCTCTTATTTTCTGTCTTACATTGTGGCTTGTTGAGTTTGAACCAGTTGCTCCTTGTTCGTGTTACATCTGACCCTTTGAAGAAATTGTCCGGATCGACAACCTTCAAATTGTTCAGTATAAAGGTGTCTATGAGATCCACCCTGGCATGCCTGGTTTGCAGTGTTGTTAGCTACCAGTTGTACGGTAATGCTGTCTATTTGGTAGTTGTGACGTGGATTGTTATGCCTCACATGTAAGGTCTTGCATTTATCGATATTTAAAAGCCTTTGCCAGTCATCTGACCAATTGTGGAGTTCATGTAGATCTCTTTCAATGGTCTCATTATCACTTTTACTTCACACTTTACCATAGATCTTTGTGTCATCTTCAAATTTGATGATGTGGTTTGTAATATTCTCATCTATGTCATTGATGAATATGACAAAAAAGATTGGCCCCAAAATGGACCCCTGTGGCACCCCCACTTGGCACATTTCCCCAGTCCGATTCAATCCCATTTAGATCGACCCTTTGTTTTCTATGTTTTAACATTGTTTTATCCATTCCAGTATTCACCTATTTATTCTATGTGCCTGTAATTTCCTTGCCAGTCCCTCATGTGGTACCTTGTTAAAAGCTATAGCAAAGTCC